CTTCTTCTGCTGGGCCAGCGACTGCATGGCGTGGTCGTGGAGCTTGTTGAGGATCGGACTGGGCGCCACCAGGAAGTCGCGCAGATACGAGATCGAGGTGCCGGCTATGTTGGGAAACTTGTGGGCCAGCTTGCCCAGACCCTCCAGGCAGACCATCAGCAGCGGCATGTGGTCCATCACGATCTTGTGGCTCAGCTCCAGGTTCAGCTTCTGCGACAGCCGGCCGCACAGCTTGTCCGCCTCTGTGGGTAGGATTTTTGAAGAATTATTATTACCTTATAATAGCAATCGTTTGGCAGTCTTCAAACAAGGGAACAAGGAACGAAAAGAGGATGAGGAGCATGGGGATGAGGATCTGTTGCAGCATGCAGCGAACTTTGGCCAGGCAATTAACAATAAACCACAAAACCGAAATATAAAGTAGGCATTTGGAGCGGGGAAACCACTTGGGATATGCCATAATAAATTCCAATTGAGGGGGAGTTTTCATTATGTGGTTTCCCCTGCACCCAAACGATCAGTTTTGTGGGTATAAAAATCGAAACTAGTGGGGATTACACTGCTCTTGACCTTTCTTCAATAAAAATTGCAAGCCATTCTGCAGGGATGGCACATTATAGTCGACGTCAACTGAACCATATTCCGGGTTCCGGCCACCAAAAAAACAAAATTACAAAAAAAACTATAAGAAACTAAAAGAAATTAAAGGAAATAACTAAAAATGGATTAGAGAAAGAGAGAGGGGCCGATCAAGCGATAAAATAATGATACAGAATTATACAGAAAAGAATATCTTATGGAACACATTATAATGTTTTACAGAAACTTATTAGATTTACCAATTTTAGCAATTAATTGATTTGATTTACCAAGTTCCTTGTAAATTAGAGCTTGAAAGTTATCGATATTTTCAATAGTTTGATAGTTCGATAATTTCGATGTTTTGAAGGAAAAACTCAAATTAAGTATCAAGAAATGGCAGATATTTCTTTAAGTTCCTTGTAAATAATCAACCAAAGGTAATGCCCCTTTATTTTCATCTCCCTCTAACTGGCAGCCCAGCTACTTCCCTCTCTCTCTCTTCCGATCGGTTTAATTTTAGAAATATTCATATTGCTTAGGTTGCCATTTTGCACTTGCATTAATGCCGTAGCGTTGAGCTGGAATTCGAGATCTTTCGCCCGCGAAAGAGGAAGGAGAAAGGACGTTCGCTTACCCGTCTCGTCGCGAATGGCCCAAACCAGCAGATCGACGCACGCCGCATTGGCCATCACATTGACCTTGTACTTGTTGACCACCGCGATGCCGTTCTCCTCGCGCCGCTCGCGCTCCTGATCCTGCTGCTTGTTCTGCAGCTCCGTCTGCCCGTTCAGGAACAGCCGCTTCACGAACTCCTGCACGTCCTTGGTGAAGGGCGTCGGCAGGTCCACCTGATGCTGCAGCAGCTCGCGCAGCAGGGTGACCAGCACCAGATTCAGCGTCTCCGAGAAGCTCTTGTAGCAGTAGCCCTTGATCTGGTGCAGCGAGAAGATGTCGCTGGCCTGCTCGTCCAGGTGCTCCAGCGTGTCCTTGGTGAGCAGCTTCTTGGACACCGCGAATATGGTCTGCAGGTGCTGGATGGGGAACGGCGGCACGCGGTACAGGGGACGCGGGCCGCCCTTCGTCGGCGACTCGCAGACGCGCATGTTGGGGAACTGGTTGAAGCTGGAGCCGTAGCGCGTGAAGAAGTGCGTCCGCGGGTCGTACGGCACGGAGAAGTAGCTGTGCAGCGAGGGCTTCTGGTGCTTGCTTCCCTGGTGGCACTTTCCCTGCCTCGCATCCTCGTGGTTCTGGTTGGCCTGCGCCTGCGCCTGAGCCAGGCTGCCCGACATGGAGCGCGGTATGATGGGTCGGAACTGGTGCGTGGCGCCCGCCAGTCGCTCGCTGCTGCTGAAGGAGCCGCCGCAGGTGCCGCTGGCACTGCTGCTCGAGCCGCCGGTGCCGTCGCGTCCGCCGCCCTTCTGGATGGGCAGCAGCTCGGGCGGAAAGATGCGGCAGAGCAGCGGAGGATCGTTGCTGGCATAGCGACCCATCGAGCGGGCCAGTCCAAAGAGCAGCGGCACCGTGGCCTTGCACAGGATAATCGGAGGCGGGGCCGAGCTGCTGTCCCTGCTCGACTTGACTATGTTGGCCAGGGCACTCAGCGTCTCCACCTGATTGAGGATGATCTCCTCGCGGGAATCCGGGCACTTGGCCGCTATGTCGGAGAGCAGGGTGTTCAGGCAGAAGCTGAACTTCTCAGCCGAGGGAATGCGAATACCTGGGCGGATAGAGAATTGGATTATCATTCCTTGAAACACATTAAGTAGAATCTAAGACCCACGTTCCACTTTGTTGCTGCGCGCATCATCGATCCAGACCGCCTTGGGCAGGCACTTGGCCAGGCGCAGCAGGTAGGGCACAATCTGGCCCTCGTGCTGGCAGCCTCCCTCCAAATAGTAGATCCCCAGGGCGATCACGGCATCCTGGGCCCGCGTGTCCAGGCAGAACACCCCGGCGGCATTCTCCTGCGGGCAATATCGGAACAGGGTCTGCACCTGTGGGTGATAGAGAAGCCATACATTAGGATTAGTCGGGTGTATCAAGTAGCTGGCGTTGTATTTCTAGCTTCAGCATTTTACCAGTGCTTTTTACTTCAAAATACATTTATCATGAGATCCTAACATTTATGATTTTAGCTATGAGTGAGTGGGAAATACAAGAGAAGCCAGAGTATCAAGTTTCCGGCATAGTATTCAGTATTAAATTAAATTATAACCTATTCTTTTAGCTTTATGGGGAGATTATGAGATCCTAACTTCTATGATTTTAACTATGAGTGAATGGGAAAGACCAGATAAGCCATAGTATCAAGTTTCCGGTATTCAATATTCATTAAGACTGCAAACAATTATTTAAACGTTTAAGGATAGTTTTATCATTTTACCTATATACTTTAGAGATTATGAGATCCTAACTTCTATGATTTTAGCTATGACCCACTTATATACTTAACTGTGACTTAATATCAACCATAGTATCAAGTTTCCGGCATAGTATTCAATATTCACTAAAACTACTAACTATTCTTTAAGCGTTATGCTTCAAAATATGATGGGTGACTTTGAGATCCTAACTTCTATGATATTCACTACCTCATTTTAAATACACAAATGCAATTTAAGGTAAACCTTCCTAAAATATATAAAAAAAACTGAAATTTTTGCCTGAACATTTTAGATAGTCAAACTTTAGAGCCTGCTGAACACTAAAAGCACTTCTGAATCATCACATACACCTCACATTTTGGCATTTTACGAGGCAATAGCCAGAGTTACGATAATGAAATGTTGACAGATTATAGAACACATAACTGTTTTTAGATCTGAGCCATTACTTTTTCGGTTTTTAAATCACAGTTCCCTTAATTAAGATGTTTTGGTAGGGTCACCTTCCCTCCCCACCACAACCACCGCCCCCTGAGCGCCCACGCATGTCTGTTTTATGGCCGCCGCTCAAGGTCAGTGCGAAAAGTCGATTCCCGGGGGGGCGGGCGGACCTCCTGGAGGCCTGGAAGATGTACCTTCTCCCAGGGAGTGGGCTGGATCCCCGCCAGCACGCGGGCCAAGCACAGGACCGTCCGCTGGTACGTGTATTTATCCGAGGCGGTCATCGTCATTGCTCCGTTCCCGCTCCCGCTCCCGCTCCTCGCTCGCTCGCTGCTCCTCCTCCTCCTCCTCCCACTGGCGGCCACCTGCTCCTCCTCCGTTCGTTCGTTTCGTTTCGGTTCGGTTCTCCTGGTTGACGCGAACAATCTCGCTAGGCGTTCGTCGTCATCTTTGGAATTCGCTCGCAAAAATTACTATTTTCTGGGGCAGCGTTTTTTGTTGTTTCGGCCACGAAGCTGGTCGACGGAGTGGCGGACTGCGATAATTATATGTAATAATATATTATATTATATTATATACAATATATATATTATTAAATAAATTATTATTATATACAAGACATCCAAATAGTGCTGCCAACTCGTTTTCCACCCAGGAAAATCCCCACGAAAAATCGAGGGCATAAGGTCCTAAAATTGGATGTGGTATATTTTTGGCAGTACATAAATACCGAAAATCCCCACGAAAAATTTAGTACACATTTAGTACATTTTTAGCACAGCAAAAAACCGTTTTATTAATTTAAAAATTACTCATTCTGCTTTTATTTAGTTACTATTACTACTAACAATAAAGGGGCCCCATAACACGAGTCTACCACACTTACAAATTGTATTAGTTGTATAGTTTTATCTACGTTATCATTTGTAAAACGCTTCCCGATCACTAAATTTCTAATATTATTATAATCATACATCGGATTATATCCTAAAACGTCTCTTTAAAATTCAAAATTATATGATTTATGGAGTACTATTTCCTTTGTTTCGGCAAAAAACTCATATTTTAGGGTGAAAAATATAGATTGGAATTTTCGACGAAAAAATACTTTTTTTATGGTTTTTCGATCGTAATTTCGACAAATTAAGACCCACAGCTAAAAGACCGACTGTTCCGAACATCTAACAACCTTAACTAACGATCCCCATCACTTTTGGGAAATTTTAATTTCTCACCAATTTTCGCATTTTTGATAAGGGGTACCATCATAATTTTTTGCGAAAATTGGTCAAAAATCAAAATGTCCAGATTTGAACGCAAATCGATTCAGAATTAAACTACGAGTTCAACAAGGTATGACATTCCATATTTGGGCTAATACTTCCTTTGTTTCGGCAAAAAAACTGATATTTTAGGGTGGAGAATAGGGATTCGAGTGCTAGACAAACAATACACTTTTTCATCTGTTTTTCAGTCGTAATTTGGACAAAAAAATATGTCTAAATATTATAATATCATCTCCCATCTAGTTAGCCTTCAGGTTTAACGACTAGTAGTGCCAAAAAAAAACAAGCTCCAAAAATATAGGAAAAACTTTTCAAACCTGCTAAAATGGGTGCGAAAAAGTGTCATTATGCCATGTTTGCGATAACGGTGGTCATAATAATAGCCTGCCTGATCCTGATCACGATATTCGCCGGCTGGGAGCACGAGGTGGTCAAGTTCAAGACCATGCTGGTCAGCATGGTGATAGTGCTGATGTTCCAGTACCTCCTGGGGGACCCGCTCAAGTTCGTGGTCCTGTCCATAGACAGGACCTTCTGGCCGCCGAAGGTCTACGTGCCGCCGATGAGCGACAAGGAGCACAAGCACGATCGCAGGGACTTCGTGAAGCAGCGCCTGGGCAGGCAGAAGTCCAACCTGATGCTGTCCTCGCAGTACAGGAACTGGAAGCTCAACGAGCAGTACAAGATGATTGCCCACGACCTGCTCACCTACGGCCAGTACTTCCTCTGCCTGACCGTCATGGTCCTGGTGACGCGCGACGAGACGCTCTACCACAACACCAGGATCATCAAGGACCTGTTCATGAACAACCACACGGACTACACGGGCCTCAGGGAGGTGTACTTCCTGAACCAGCTGTACGACTTCATTGAGTCCACGCTGGTGGTAGCCTTCAACTCGAACACGAGCACTGGAACCGGAGCCCCCGGCTGGGTTCACGCGGAGCAAACGGTCCTCCTGGGCGTGATTCGACTGCGCCAGCTGCGCCTGAGCACTCCGGAAATGGGTCTCAATAAGCCGCAGTTCTCCGAGCTGTACTACATGCCCGACTGGCAGCTGCCGTACCGCCGACTGCACTACGCCGAAAAGTATTGGCGCATCTACGAGCCCTGGATCCCGATAACGGTCAGCTTCGAGTTCCTCGACGCCCTGATCATGAACTTCGACCACGTGGGCTACCTCAATAGCTATCCGGAGCTGTTGGGCTACGTCAGTCTGCTGGCCCGCAGCACGGCGAACAGCATGAAGGTGAGTGTGAATGGTAGTCCTTTGGAATTTGAGTTGGGAATTCTGCAGTTAAGGGGTTACAAGAGAGGACAAAATGCAAATTATTAGTTACATGTGTCTAGATTACACTACCAAAACTTCAATTCGATCGGAGCCGTATTTTAGGAGATATAGTCTTTGAAACTCAAAAATATCGTACCTAACCAAAGAATTTCTGAATATTTTAGTTTTAAAAATTAAAAAACGAAAAATAAGATTCGAAAATGCATTCTTCTTTCGTAAAATTTAAATTCTTGAATTATTTGAGTTTGGAATTCTATAGTTAAGGGGTTACAAAAGAGGACAAAATGCAAATTATTAGTTAAATGTGTCTAGATTACACTACCAAAACTTCAAATCGATCGGACCAATATTTTAGAAGATATAGTCCTTGAAAGTTACAAATTGGAATTACTAATCATAACGAAAAAGTGCTTGTTTTCAAGCGAAAGACCCTATGTAACCACTTAAGGAACAACATTATTCAAATCACTGCCCCCATAGGTTTTAGACTACCTCAACGAGTACCATTGGCTCACGCTGAACACCTCGGCGGTGTTCATCGACTTCACGCTTTACAATGCGGACGTGAATCTGTTCAGCATCTGCACGCTGCGGGTGGAGAAGACCCCCTTCGGCGGCCTGGTGCCGGAGGTCCAGGTGGACAGCGCCAAGCTGCTGGACAACGTGGACCAGATGCCCTACTCGGGCCTGCTGGCCCTGCTCATCTACGTGGTGGTCTTCATCCAGTTCTCTCAGACGCTGGCCGTCCGCCTCTGGTACGAGCCGCGCCTGCTGAAGAGCATTTGGAACCGGCTGGATCTGTGCATCTTCCTGATCAACGTGATGGTCGTGGTGATGGTGGTGCTGCGCGAGGCGCTGGTGGCCAACATGATGAAGAAGGTCGAGGGGGCGAGCAAGATGGAGTTCATTGACTTCCGGCGCCCGGCGCGACTGCATCAGTTGACCACGATCACGATTGGATTCCTGATCTGCATAACCACGCTGCGTCTGTGGCGGGTCATGCAGTTCTCCAGCGTCTTCGAGCTCTTCACCCGAACGCTCTACTTGGCCTGGGCCGCGGTGGTCAGCACGGCCATTGCCATCATCATATTCCTCATGGGCTTCTGCTTCGCCGCCGTGACCATAAACGGCAACAACAGCGTTAACTTCAACAACTTCCTCAAAAGCATGGTGATGTGCATGTGCTTCACCTTCGGCTTCAGTGCCCAGGTGAAGCCCACGGATCTCTTCCACGGCGGTCGCTGGCTGGGCATGGTGCTGTACGGCGTCCTGGCCTTCGTCATCATCGTGCTGCTGATCAATGTCTTTGTCTCCCTGATCAACGACTACTTCACCGTGGCCAAGACGGTGAGGGACTCGCAGAAGGACCATCGCATCAACTTCTTTGACTTTCTGCGCGTCGAGTTCTCTGGCTTCTTCCGCTGCTTCCAGAATTTACCCTGCTGGCGGCGACACTATGTCCGCAATAATCGCACGGTGGCCCAGAATGTCAACCGGAAGCTGAACGAAATGGATGCGAGGCGGGAGATGAGGCAGCGCCAGCGACGTGGCTACCAGGTGATCCATCGGCAGTCGGATGCCGATGCCCAGTTGGCGTACAAGGATCGCGGCGAGAGAATAATCAACGTGGGCAACATCCTGAACACTCAGCTAACGCTGCTCAGCATGCTCCTTTTTGACGAAGATGAAGTGGAGGAGCAAGTGCAGCCGGAGCAGCAGGACGCTGAAGCGAATGCAGCTGGAGATGGAGGCGCAGATGGAGCCACAGAGCCGCAGAAAAAGAAGAACCAGGATGAGGCTGATGCTTAAAAGATGGAAAATGTTAACAGAGTTTTAATATTTGTGCTCGTATCGTTGGAAAAATAAAGCGTACCAGAAAAAGTAGTACTATGGAATAGTTATTCTTAAATTAAAAATATTAAAGGGTTCCTGTGGAAGGAAAAGGCCTAGGATGATCTAGAATATCACCTCAAAGTTAGCTGCTCAAGAAACTGCTTTAGGAAATGTCAGATTCTATCATATCTAAGAACCAGGATGAGGCTGATGCTTAAAAGATGGAAAATGTTAACAGAGTTTTAATATTTGTGCTCTTTAAATTAAAATCAAATAAAGCGTACTAGAAAAAGTAGTACTCCTATGGAATAGTTATTCTTAATTTAAATATATTAAATGGTTCCTGTGGAAGGAAAAGGCCTAGGATGACCTAGAATATCATCTCAAATTTAGCTGCTCAAGAAACTGCTTTATAAAGTGTTCGATTCTATCGACATATCATATCTAATCAAAATATCCACCACTTAATTGAACTAATGGGGCTGCCTGAATACTCCAGTCGGCAGTGCAGCTGTGCTCACTAACTTAGTCCTAAAATCTATTTAGTCTTTGGCTCAAGCGTAGCATGGGCGGTGGGTTGGGTTGGTCTTGGGTGGGTGGTCCGGTCTGTTCCTCTTTCAGTGATCCGCGGTGGTCTTCTTCCCGTGACGCTTTCGCAGCGCATCCTGGGAGTCCGTCTTGCCACTGGCCGACTTCTTGACCAGCACCAGATCATCCGCCTCCGCATCCACGTCGCTCAGTGTGTCTCCGCCCACGTCCGCAATGTCGGACTTGTCACCGTAGGCGAGCAAGTCATCGTCGTCATCCCGCAGGCTGCTCGCCTTGGAGGAGGCGCGGACTACGCCGGGCTCCAGCGACTTCGTGAGCCGGGCGTACTTGATTTGCACGCTGTGCAGCCACTTGGCGTCGGACCAGTGGTACCAGCTGAGCAGAAAGACGACCAGTATAAAGAATAGATTGGTGCTAATGGCTGGAAAGTAGAGACAAGGATTAGCGGTGGGATTCCCGGTGGATATACACATTCCAACATACCCACTATGGCCGACAGCACGGGCCAGTTGAACATGATGTACCGCAGACCGGTAAAATCGGCCACTATGTGGAGGGTCACCGTGTAGAACTGGATCTTCTGCGACTGGATCTCCACGTAGACATCCGTGATGGGATGCTGCCGCTCCTCCAGGTAGCGCGAGAATATCTCCACGGGCACCTGCTGGAACTCCTCCTTCCAGCCGAGCACGTACAGCGGACTCAGCGCCCACGTGGAGATCATGCGGATCAGGGGCGACCGGTAGCGCATCATGGCCGAGCGGCAGGAGTGGCCCCGGAGCATCGAGTCGTAGTCCCGCATCTCGGCGCACACCATGAACATGCCCAGCTCCAGGTTCTGCGGCGACTCCGGCATGTCGATGTTCACGATCACCTTGTAGGCCTGGCCCACCATCAGCAGCTGTTGCTTCTTCGTCAGCGAGACGTGGGCGTGCGGGAAGGTGCAGGGCGTGCTGGTCTCCAGGCAGGTTCTGGGGGAGATTAGACTATCAGTTTAGCTACATATGCACTTGGAAGTGGGTGCTAAGTCTAGAGTGGTTAGTCATGATGGCCAACGATAGCCAGATAAGAACAGTGCACAATTACTATGGACTGCAATACTCAGTCGTAATCGTAATAAAAACCCGAAAGATAGCTATATTTATGGACCTGGTAGTTTAGATAACCAGTTCTAATATTTCGGTTGTTTTTCGGGGCTAACAATTAAACTAGATCTAGTTTAATATTCATATGACTTCTTGCTTTTCAATAGGATTCTGATAATTTAATTAGCAGTATTATACAAACTACGAACCCAAAAGTTCTGCTAAATGATCCTTAAGATGGACTAAAAGGATCCCTAGGGTGGACCAGATTCGTACTCACTTGAACTGCATATAGATCGTATAATTACAAACTAAAAAATTCTGATAAATTATCCCTAAGATCCCTGGGGTGGACCAGATTCGTACTCACTTGAATTGCATGTGGACGGGTCGTGTGTGCGATATGGCCGGCATGTAGACGTAGTAGAAGGCGGCGTACATGAAGACCGCCAGCCAGATGATGAGGACGACGGCGAAGGCGATGAGTCCCAGCCGGAGGACCAGCTCCCGCACGGTGCCCACCTTCTCGTCGGCCTTGCTGCGGACACGATCGTACACGTTCCAGCCGAGATTGAGGGCCGGGCGGATGAGGAAGCGGCGGCCCAGGCCCAGAGGGTCCAGGCAGAAGACCACGAAGCGCAGCAGGAAGTTCATGGTGGAACTGGGAACTGGTGTACACCGAGTGTAGCAGCAATTAAGTGAGCTAAGTGTTTTGTATTCGTGCTATCAGCACCGGTCGCTTATCGATTCCCTCTTCCCCGCTCCCCGAGATTTGCATAGGCGCTCTATCGGCTGATTCATATATAGTGCTATAGCGGCGATCCGATCCATCCACGATCCAGAAATCCAGACGTTGTACCGGCTCAAAGGTCAGAGCCAAAACGATTTTCGGTTTACACTGGCCAACACAAGATGAGCTTATTTTTAAGACAGCTCCAAGATAGTTTATAAATTCGAGTAGTTGTATTGCAAAACTTGGAACCTGATATTACCTAGTTGACACTAATCTAACTAACTTGTTGCACAGTTTTTGCTGACTAGTGTTGGTTCCCCAAACCAGCTGTGCCGTTCCCGGCTATCGGTAATCGTTAATCGTCGCAACCATCGTCGATTGTTTTCATTGTTTGTAATTACACATTTCGTTTCGCTTTTCGTAAATTAATAACTAAATACAGAGATTAGTCGCGATTAACTAGACGGATGAATAATAAGTAACACTGCCAAAGCTGTGAAAAGAGACTGCGCTTTAATTGGAGTAATATAAAAGTGAAATCGGGTATATAAAGACGAGTACAGATAAACAGATGAGCAACTACCGTTATCAGGGGGGCGGCATCGGGGGCGGGGGCGTGGCCGGGGGACGCGGCTACAGCGGAATCGAGGTGCACGAGGTGATGCATCCGCACCACTTCACCTACGTGAGCCAGTGCGTCAAGTACATGATCTTCCTGCTGAACTTCATGTTCTGGCTGTTCGGCGGCCTGCTGCTGGGCATCGGGATCTACGCCTTCAAGGACAAGTGGGAGGAAGCGAACGGGTCGGTGCGGCTGGAGAACTTCTACGACGTCTTCCTCAACATCTCGCTGGTGATGATCCTGGCCGGCATGGTCATCTTCCTGGTCAGCTTCTTTGGCTGCCTGGGCGCCCTGCGCGAGAACACCTTCCTGCTGAAGGCCTACTCCGTCTGCCTGCTGCTCTTCTTCCTCCTGGAGATGGCCATCGGTGAGTCATCCGTGGGTTCTGTGGAGTGCTGATCTGACTAACTTTCTCCCCCTTTCGCCCATCATCCAGCCATCATTTGCTTCGTCTGTCCGCAGTACATGAACACCTTTCTGGAGAAACAGTTCACGGACAAGATCATCCACTCGTATCGCGACGATCCGGATTTGCAGAACTTCATCGACTTTGCCCAGCAGGAATTCAAGTGCTGTGGTCTCAGCAACGCGGGCTACCAGGATTGGAGTGAGTATATCTTAAGGGATCTCGAGGGACTAGTATAGATGATATGATATATGTATTATAAACCGAAAACCTTGCCTTGAAACTAATATGTTATCTTAAAAGCTAAATTTTGTCTTTGGTTCGCTGGAAACAACTACATATAAGGCCTATCTTAAAGCTGGGTTTCAAAATTTCATAAATTCCTCCATGTTTTATCACGAAACCACAGGAAATGTCAGAAATGTTTAAGCAAATGTTGATAATTGTTAAAAATACATACGTAGAGGGCACATAAATTGAAATCTTTCAACCATTTTTAACTTATAAACTTATGCACTCTTCTTACAGGCAAAAACGAGTACTTCAACTGCAGCTCGCCGTCGGTGGAAAAGTGCGGAGTGCCCTACAGCTGCTGCATCAATGCCACCGATATATCCTCCGGCCTGGTGAACATCATGTGCGGCTACGGCGTCCAGGAGACCCAGGTGCCGGAGGCCAGGAAACGGATCTGGACCAGCGGCTGCATCGAGGTCATGCGGATCTGGGCCGAGCACAATCTGTACGTGATCGCCGGCAATGCTCTGGGCATCGCACTCATCCAGCTGCTGGTCATCTATTTGGCCAAGACGCTGGAGGGCCAAATCGAGCTGCAGAAGTCGCGCTGGGCGGCGTGAGATCCGGGACTGCCCGAATTTTACGGGCCCTACGATCACACCTGAACTAAGCACACTCTCAGAATTCCTAGTTTTATACACGTACCACTTGTACCACTCAAAGGACTGTCAAAACTCATAATCCAGAGGGAGTAACAGTCCTTAAGTGATGGTTCTATATTCCAATTTTATTTTTATTTCTTTTGGTCTTTGCTTACTTAAAGAATTTCCACTGTGCAATATTCATTTTGAACTTTTCTCAAAAGCCAAAAGAACAATGAGGTATTACTCGATGAGATTTAAGGTATACCATTGATTTTGGAATTTTAACTTTTAGTCTCTAATATTTGTATTTTAATCGACTACACCTACAATTGCTGTATATACCCATACATATTTACACCTTTTGTGAACTCATCTCAAACACATAATGTACTCACGATGCTCATCCCAATCCGACCAAACAACGCCATATTACGTTTGGCCAGTGAATAACTTGCGAAATCTCGGTGCATTTATTTATACGCAATGCATTTCTAGTGAAAAACAATAACCAACAAGGAGCACAAATCTTGAATATCTAGACATCATAGCAATTTTTAAATGTATTATTAATCTAGAACCCTAAAACTGTAGACTTATGATAATAAAAGACAAAATATAAAGTGAGATTATTTTATTGTGAGTAATGGAAGGGCTTTTATAAAATGTAATTTAATTTTTATGGTATATTGTCCACCATATTTTTGACTAGTATAATTTTAATATACTAGTAATATTCTTGATATAACTTATAATTATATAACTTATAATTAATTATATATAGGTAATACAATTTTAATGTTCCACCCTACTATTCAAGGGAATACCCCATCTGTAAATATACCTCCCGATACCGATAGTCGCCGATAGGTTCACACAGCGATACCGATGGTTTTTCGAACTACACGTGCAAATCAAACAGCACGTTATAAAATAAATACAAGGAATTAACTTAATTTAAGCGTAGAAACTGCTCAGAAATGAAGGCCAAGGTGGACAAAAGCATAGCGAATGGTGGAGCAGCCAAGGCAAAGGCCAAGGGGGAGCGCAAACGGGCGAAATCCCTGAAATCCGAGGAGGAGGTGGACGCGGGCAGACCGGCCAAGTTGGCCAAGCTGCCCAAGAAGGAGAAGCCATCGGAGGAGCCCGCCGAGGAGAAGGAGAACACGCCGAGCAATGGCCACCAGCTGAAGGTGTCCCAGATCAACAAGGCCGTCTTCGGGGTCTTCAAGAAGATCCAGGCCAGTCCGCTGACCCAGAAGATGATCAACTCGCTGGTGGTGCTGCTGCGCGATGACACGGATGCGGAGCAGGTGGGTGATCTAGCTACTACAGGAGTTCCCCTAACACATATGTACCCTTTCACAGCGCACTGCCACCAGTTGCTATGTCCTGAAGCGCCTGATTCGTTCCACGGGAGCAGATGACCTCAAGGCGGTCAGCCTGGCCGCCAGCTATATCCACTGCATCCTCAGCGCCGTGCCCGCCATCGATGCCCTGGAGGTTCTGGACACTTTGAAGCGGGATCTGGCCGTGGGCAGTCAGCAGCGGGGCAAGGAGGACTCCCTGGCCGCCGTGGGCCAGTTGGTAACCGCCTTTTGCATCCTGCAGACGCCGCAGTTCGCCAAGGGAGAGGCCAAACTGGTGGCATCCGTCTACCAGATCCTGGCCAGCCAGCTGAAGGGCCGCGAGTACCTGGTGTCCATGTGTGCGGACATCCTGGCGGACTCTTTCAAGCAGGTGGGTTAATGGTTGAGCTGCTCCTCCTCCTCGGAAGGGTATAATTAATGATTCCTTGCCTTATATCCCTAGCTTCCTGCTGACATCTTCGAGGAGCACGTGTGGCCGCTGCTGCAGCCGCAGCTAAACAAGCCACTGGCTGGTTTAAAGGTCAACACCTACGACCTTCTGCTGGCCGTTCACCTCACCTATCCCTCTATTCTGTCACGCGAGCAGCTGATCGGCAGCTTGTGGCCCAAGAAGGCGGCGTTTGGGCAGCTCTTCGAGCTCTACTTCTCCGGCTCCACCATCCACAGCGATGGGGTGTACGCCAGACTGGCCATTTTCCTGGCGCAGGGCGGCAAGGACTTGCTGGCCGCCTGGCAGCAGTTCACCGATGCCAAGCAGCCGCTGAAAATGAATGCACAAAAGGCCTGCGTGATCCAGGTACTAGGTCACGTACTACTCAACGTTCAGCCGAAGGAGGAGCAGCACATCTTGCAGGTTTTCACGCCCACTTGTGTGCAGTTCCTGCTGCAGGAGCTGTCGGCGCTGAAGGGCGATAAGAGTGAGGCCAGGAAGCCCTCGCAACAGGAGCTGCGCGAGATCTGCCTTAAGTTCGAGGGAGCCCTGGTCCTGAGCTTCGAGAAGCAGTTGCAAAGCGAGGAGCTCAAGCTGCAGCTGCTGCTGAAGTTCCTGGAGCAGCGACTGCAGCTGGAGGCGGTGACCAGCCTGCCGCGTTTCGGCCAGCAGCTGATCAACCAACTGAGCGCCGAGAGCCTCCAGAAACTGTACGATTACTACAGCGATTTGCTGGGTTCTCTGGCGGATGAGGACCGCGTGAGCCGAGTGCACTGCCTCAACCAGATGCAGATAATCCTGCAGCACGCAAAGCTGGACCAGGAGGCCAAGTGGCGTCAGAAGCAGTTGCGCCACCTGCTGCTTGCCGGCCTCTTCCACTTGGATGCCGATCGGAAGCCCTGTGAGGCCGCCAAGGCCAGCGCCTTCAGTCGCCAGTGTGCGGAGCGCTGCGAGGAGATCTTCCTGGGCTCCCTGCTGCACAAGTGCTCCGGTCTGCCGGCTCTCTGCCAGCTGCTCCACAAGACCTTGAGTTACCTGACCAAGGAGCTTGGCAAGCCGGAGGCGGAGAGCAAGCTGCGTTCGCCCAGAGATGAGGGCCTGCAGAAGGCCTGGAAACAGGTGGAGAAGCTGCTGGCGAAGCCCGCCGAGGAGTCGGACATCGTGGGCCAAACCTTCGAGGCGCTCATCCTGTTTGTTTCCCTGGCTTTGTGCACGAGAATTCCCCTGTCTGTTAGCGTCTTGGAGGATCTGATTATTTGCAGGAAGAACGCGCTGGAGAAGAGCAAGAAGAAAGTAAGCATAAAGCCCTTGAGCATATATAGTATATAATAATATATATATATTTTAAGTATGTGGTAGAGCCTTGCAATGAATTATTTTGAATTTTTTGTTTTATATGAATGAATTAATTAGAATTTTGAGTTCAATGGAATGAATGAATTGCATGAATTCCGAAATAATTCAAACGACAATTTCTATTGAAGAAGAAAGGGCTATAATTTTGTGATTAAATATGCCTGAATTTTATTTACTAAGCAGTTAACATTAATTTGTTAAAAAATGTTCCACTTTCCACAAAAAATCTGGCAAATTCAATTCGAAATGAATTAGAAAAACATTCAATTTATTTCACATAGAATTGAATTAAACAAATCCGAAATTTCATGGCATGCTATGATAAAACAAAAATTGAATGATTCACGCAGGGCTTTAACTATAAACTTAGTTCCTTAGTAAATGTTCCCCTTTTTTTCAGGCCAACGAGGAGCTCAAGTGGCAGGATGTGCTCACAGATGCCCTGCTGCAGCTGCTCCTGCAAACGGGGCACTTCTGGCGCGAGTTCGTCAACCTGGTGGGCACTGCCCTGGTTCCCCACCTCGAGCAGGCCAACCTGGAGCAGATTCTCGAGGTGCTCAACATGAACAGGAATCCGCTGAGCAAGAAGGACGAGGGCGAAGAGGAGAGCGACGAGGAGAGCGAGGAGGAAGCCCCAGAAGATTCCAGCGAGGAGGAGGATGATGAAGAGGAGGAGGATGAGGAGGAAGATGAGGACGATGAGGAGTCCCACTTGGCCCAAATCCGCGAGAGCGTTCGTCAGGCTCTGGTCAACGATGGCGACGCCGACGAGGACGGCGCCAGCAGCGTGGACTGGAACGATGTGGACGAGGAGCAGGGCGCCCGCCTGAATGCTGCCTTGGAGCAATCCTTCCAGCTGTTCCGACCCAAGTCGCGCAAGGCGCAGGAGAAGGAGCGACCCACCAAGTCGGAGCGCATCGACAACACAAGTCTGCTGCACTTCCGCATTCGCGCACTGGACTTACTCGAGCTTTTCGTGGCCAAGAAACCCACTCAATCGGTGATTCTGGACGTGCTGCATTGCGTTTTCCAGGTGTACCGTCACTGCAGCGGCGACACCAAGCTGCAATCCCTGCGCGAGGCGAGTTTGAAGCTGCTCAAGAAGCTGCTGGCCAAGAACATTGAATTCGCGGAGCAGCAGGACACTTCACCCATTCTGGAGGCCATCGAGCAGCTGATGGCCAGCGGAGAGGAGCAGTCGGAGGAGGATCAGGAGGGAGGCAAGCAGCAGAGCAGCATTAACCGGCAGGCCAAGGGAGAGGTGGCCATTTGGCGGGACAAGTGCTTCGCCTACCTGGTCAGCCAGGGATCGGCAGCCGGGGAGCCCAAGCAGAGTGCCGTTTGGCCGCTGCTCGTCGAGTTCCTGCAGCTCTGGGTGACCCGTCGGCGCAGTCGCCTCTCGCTGGCCAGTTTCGAGGCCCTCTTCCAGTCGGGTCAATGGCAGGGAGTGGCTCCTCTCTCCGTTGTCCTGGCCTCCCACTTGGATGTGAAGAAGACGCGCAGCTTCCGGCGGGCGCAGATCCTCAAGCTCCTCGGCGAGCAGTTCCGACGACTCGAGGCGGCTCTCAAGGATAACAGTGCGTCTGGCAAGGAGTTCGAGAAGCATTTAACCAGATATGTGCAGCAACTGGAGACGGAGGAGGCCAGCAGTCCCAAGGAGCTGAAGCTGCTGCAGAAGATACTGGCCCAGGGTGGCCCCAAGCGGCAGAAGCTGCTGGAGAGGATTCAGGTGGTGGTTAGGAAGCCTCAGGAAGCCATGGAGGTGGAGGAAGATGAGGAGGAGAAGTCAGCAGAGGAGGAACAACAGAAAACTAAAAAGAAGGCCAACAAAAAGCCGAAGAAAAAGGTCTGAAAAGCCAGCTTAACATAAGAGTAACATTAGGTTTTTTGTTCTTAGGAAATATCTAAATGCTAAATTAGTATTGAATAATAAACTATGCAAGTAACTAACTTTAGACACTTTTATTTAACGAAATAATATTGCAATCACAGGCGAGGTGGAAAGTAGACGTGCTGGCGAAACGAGCTGTTGAACTTGGGCACCATGGACTCGTCGTTCTTGCCGCGCTTCTGGGAAACCTCGTTGGTGACGATGGTCAGGATGTCGGCAATGTGTTCGCTGCGCGTCAGAATAATAATAAGAAATTGAGTAAGGAGTAGGAGCTACGTATTCACCTGGCGGAGTGCTGATCGATGGCATCGCAGAGCCCCTGGATGAACCAGCTGCCCGAGTGCGTGTGCCGCAGGGCGGAGAATCCGTTCACCGTGGACATGGCGCGCACCATGTTGACATGCTGACTGGGCGACTGGGTGGTCACATCGATCTTGAACTGGAAACGAAGGCTATTGTAGGGCAAAGTATTGATTGTATGAATATCAGGGTTCGGAAAATAGCACACACTGTAAAAAACGTCAAAGTGTTATTAACATGTATCCCACATATGTTAGAAACATAAATTACACACACATGTCATTTGTGTTATTTACACGGCGTGTTTTTTACTCAGCGAGTTTTTAACACAATGAGTTTTTGACATTAAAGTGTCAGAATTGTATGTTTTCTATAGTATAAGAAATGTAATTTTCATTTGTGTTAAAAACACAGTGTGTAAAAAACACGTCGTGTTCATAACACATTGTGTAAAAAGCACAAGTGAGCTGTGTGTGTTAACAATTATTTTTCACATTCTAACACTTTTGTATTTGACACACATGTCAACAATTTTGCTTGTTTTTAACATGTGTGTTAATTTCCGAACTCTGATGAATATCAGGCCTACTGGCTTGTTTTCCTCGCCCTCCCGGAGCGCCTCCTCCTGGCAGGCCTGGATGATGAGCAGCTTGGGCTTGTTGTACAGCGTCTCGTAGCTGCAGAGCACGTTCTCGATGTCCGCTATCCGCAGGGCGATGCTGTTGGCCCCGTAGACGGCCTCCTCGAAGCCGTGGCTCAGGATGCACACGACCAGCGAGTCCTGCAGCAGGGATCTGTCGCAGGCACTGCGCACGAGCTGCACCATGTCCAAATGATCCACATTATCGCGCGCCTCCACCTGGTAGTTCATCGCGGAGAAGACCTCGGTCAGTCTTTGCTTATCCACATCCGTTCCTGCGCGGTTCTGCAACTTCTTAGACGGCAGGTATTGCTGTGAAGTATTACCTATTATAGGATTAACTTTGATGAGTACTTGGTTAACACACCTTGAGATCCTCGCTGACATTGCGGTGGAACCTTTGCTGGTTGATGATCAGCACGATGCCCGCCTTCTCGCGACTCAGCTCGAGGGCATTCCCTCGCCGGGAGGAGCTGGCTGAGCTAACTGAGCTGGCTGAGCTGTCCAGTTGCGTCTCCTGCTTGATGGCCACCAGTGGAGGAGCAGGAGGAGCCGCCTCCGGGGCATTGCTGTTGATGGTGTCTATAAGCAGCTTGGCCTGCTCCTGCAGATCATTGAACTTGAGGTGCTCAATCAGAAGCTGAACATCGCTGCCGGCGGCATTGATGTCGCCCAGCCGCAGGGATCCCCTGGTGAGCCAGTCCAGCAGGAAGATCTCCAGGTAAGTGGGATCGTAGAAGCGCAGGGGATCGCCCGCCTGCTGACGCGCCACCTTCTCGCCCACATCCAGGACCAAGCGACCGCTCTGCGCCAGCGTCAGCTGCTCGCAGATCCTGTAGAGACTCTTCAGCAGCGGATGCACATGCAGGGCCACCTCGGCGACGTGGGGCAGGTAGTGCAGCCGCAGCTCCTGCCAGCGGAAGCCCAGGCGGCGCAGCACCTGGCGGGCGCCCACAATGCACAGGGCCTCCACGAGGTGCCTCCGCCAGGCGTCTGGCCGGGATTTGGCGTACTGCTGGAGGAGATCGCTGGGCGGGAAGTCGGCTTCCGATCGCGTCATCACCAGCAGCTTCTGCAGGATGTAGGTGGCGTGCGAGTGGTCGTCCCCGTGGAGCAGGAAGCAGAGGCCCACCTGGAAGAGGGATTGCTCTTAGATGGGAGAATATGGAACCTGGTTACTCCCCGGAAATTAGTCACTTCCTCGCGGATCGCGAGGCTCACCTTCTGGGCAAAGTTCAGGTCGCGCTCCACGTAGACCAGGTCGTCCAGGTGGATGGCGTCCAGCTGGGTCAGCAGATTCGCTCCGGCCATGTTGTGCGGGAAAGTACCAGTTTGTAAGATCAAATTCGCATGAAAAAGCGAAAAAGTTCGGATTTGTGGTGCGGTCAGGGCTGCCAGTTCAGCTTTTTTCCCGCCAAGTGGTGGGCGACGTCGCTAACTTAGCGGGGTCACCCACCTGATCTTGTGATTTTGTAGGCCGATAACTGCCGATAAGTTGCCTTGCATTGCCTTTAATTAAATAAATTAATTAAATTAGCATATGAAATGCATGTGCTTTCTTTAGCACTGTCGTAAGTACTTGAAATTACGATGCATGTGCGCAATTCTGAAAAAAAACATCTTTAAGGAATTCTTTTCTCTCGACACTAGGCTCAAACCAAAGCTCTTGATTAGCACTATAATATGTGAAGATATAAGATAAGTATTGTCCTGAAAAATGATCCAAGGATACTCAAATTGCTTGGCATCAAGAATCTATCTAACAAAAAACATATAGCAGAGCAAAATCATCAAAATCAGAAATATGTGTTTACTAAGTTTCAGGCTTTTTGGCTTGGTTGATATCCTGAGTAATATGTTAATGCTTTTCAGTATACAAAATTATTAATTGTATTATTACGGCAAAAGAAATTTTAAATAAAAATAGGAAACAAAACATTGTAAAAAAAAAATCTAATAAATAAGCTAGACTCAAAGATATCAAACTGAAGCTGCTAAAGCTCATACCCACTGTTAGCAAGTAGTTTTAAAAAACAAATATTTGTTTATTTATTCTACCAATTTTTTAGCTATAGGGGATTATTTACAATGTTTTTATAGATAAATAATTGTATTACTATTTAAAAACAATAAACGTCGCTGCTCTTAACATTTCTGTTAGAAAGCTCTGCATTTTAAAGCGCCACTGCGGACGAAAAGGGAATCAAATATCGCGATATAATTATTTTTATTTTTCCCATCCCAAATGTTAAGATACAACGTTTTCTTACATTGGCAGAACTGTTGCGCCGCTGCCGCTGCTCTGCCAATGTAAACGGTGCATCCTAACATTTCTGTTAAAAGTCGCTGGGCCTAACAGTTTAAGGCGCCAATCTGGTGGAAAAGGGAAACCATCGCGATAAAAATATTTGTACTGAGCTTAAAGCTTTAGAGCGCCCTCTGGCGGAGAGGGAACCACATTTTTAAAAATAAATCACGGTATAGTATTTTTACCCTCACCCGAAAACACGAATATTTCGATAGGTTTGCGATTCCGGCCACTACCCCGAACGGTCCCACCACTCATTGTTGAATTTCGAACTAAAAAACACCTCCTGACTACTATGTTCTGGACGAAAAGTTATTAATTTAATGTTTTTGTATATTGTATTCTGTCCATGAGCGTAACAGAGACAGACTGAGAGAAAGGGAGAGACTGAGAGACAGGGCCGCCGCAGGCAGAGAGACAGAGAGGGCGAGAGCGAGCCGAGCGGGTGCGAGCGAGAGGTCGCCGCAGGCACGCACACACTTATGCCTGTACATATATATAGTATCAGCAGAAAATAAGTCGAAAAAGTCAAATTCGCACTCGGTTCTGCGAGAACTCAACGATTTTTTCATACCTACATATGTATGTACCCACGGCTGCGTCATCAAAAGCGAATACATCAGATGTATGTCAATGTATAGTATATATGTGGCCACGACTGTATGCCATATATGCCTGTATATATATCTTTATTCACCTACTGTACCACTTCCACATTATGTAAGCGGCGCCGCCAAAGTCGAACAAAAATCACAAACAGGAAATCTGAACTCTGAAATCCGAAAGCGAAAAGCCAAAAGCAAAAAGCCAAAAGCAAAACAACGAACCAAAAATTCTACCTATAAACCGAAAACCGAACAGCAATGTTATAAAGAAGCACCGAAAAGTTGTAAATGTTCCACCTAAAAACAGAAATCGCACGTAAAATCACGCTAAAAAAAGTAAGATCGAAAACAAATTGTTTGTTTGGCATAGTTCCGAAATATCTGTATGTACTCCACTGTATATGTACCCATGTCTGTGTATGTATGTCGCACTGGGGCCACGCCTCCCTCGCCTACGTGTGTGGGTGTGAGAAAGGGACGGCTGGCGCAAGCTGTTGGAAAGTACATACATTTGTTTTTGGAACGCCAGCAAAACAAAACAAAAATGCGTGCTTTTTCGTTCACTGTATGTCTGTATGTACACTAGTATATAACTGCAAACTGCGCAGCTGTGTTTGGCACACGCACACACACGCCTGCCGTTTACAGTAGCATCCAGAGAAATTCGCACAGCAAACAAAAAAGCAACCAACAACCAAACTTTCTTTTTACGCAAACTTGAGAAATTGCATTGATAATTAAAGACATTCTCTTTTCCCCACAACACACACGCACATGTACATACGCACTGGAAACCTTGTGTGTCTGTATGTATGCCCTGCTTAGGTCATGGGTGTGCGAGCGAGACAACAAGATAAACAACCGCGAGTAAGAATTAAACACGCGCTCGTTATGTGCGTGTGTGAGTATCATTTGACACATTTGATTTTGTTATTTTCATCAATCGACATGATTTGCATCAGTTACATGTCATCAATTTGTATGCAAACTACAAGTGCCAGGTGCATACATACACACAGACACACATATGTACATACGTGCAGATATGCGCGTGTGACTTATGTATAACGGTTCATATCTTTTTCACACAATAACAAATAACAAAAAAAAGTCTTGCTTCCAAAATCAATGGAAAGATTGGTTGCGGTTGCTTTCCACTTTCGCCTTTCGGTTTTCAGAAACTGTTTACGTTTTTTATTAATTCGGAGAATTTAGATTTAAGTGGTTTAGGCAATTCTCTAAGTGTAATATTATTGTTTTTAATGAGTTATACAGTGGTCAACAAAAATGTGACACAAAAGCATGCTGCACATTTACTAAGTAATTAATTAAATTCTTTTTATTTAAAAATAATTTTTTTATTTTTAAATTTATATATTTTTTAGAAAATCAATTGTTATTAACAGTTTTATTAAAACGTTAATTTTAATATTTTAATAGTTTAGAAAAACATTAGTTTATTAATCTGCGAAATGTCATTTTTAATTTGCAGGATGCTCAGATGCCGGTTTTTTCAGTTCGTTTTAAGATAATCCCAACACAGTCTAAATCTGAGGTCAAGAAGGACCTCCACGACATTTTAAAAGTTCCCAGTTGAACTCTATTGTTTTTATTTTAAACATTATGTCACTGAATCGGTATGGGATAAAAATATTTCCCAAATTCTATCTTGACGTCAGGTTTAATCTGCGATAACATAATCTAATTATTGATCTAATCACTCTTATTAGACGCAGAAAGACAGAATTAAAGTGCATCTTGCTTACTGTGCCAACATTTTTGTTTCCCACTGTATGAAAACTGACTAGATCTGAAAATTTGATTCAAAAAGCTTGATATTTTTATGATCATATTTTGGTCTTGCAATTACTGCTTAAAAATTATTTATAAATTAATTTCTAAATTAGCTTTAATACGTTTTTAATATTCCTATGTAGCGTAGCATTTCGAATTTTATACATTTTGTCCGGCTTTTCGGAAAAAATAACTTTAAAGTAAGATTAGTATCAGATATTCTAAAAAAGATACAAATTATCATTGAATTTGAAATTGGCAATTACATTTTCGACTGTCAAATTTTTCCCTGTGCAGATATAACCTAATTAAGTCAATTAATATCACATTACAGTTTGCCACTTTGTGTAATTGAGATAACGAACTATTAAATGGCTTATTTTATAACGTAGCCAAGAGGATGAGGTACACTTTTAATACTCCCATTATTTCAAAGCCAGAATATTTAGTTTTCAAGATTACACCCCCCTTTCCACCAATCAGGAACGTTTGCCTTTAGTGTTAACCAATTCCTTTCATTCAGTTTTAAGTTTCGATCGCATATGTGGTTAGGTTGGGAATTTACTCTTGAATATTTCGATATATTTACTCATAATGTAATGTAGGGCTAAATATAGAACACTTTCAATATCCATGACCCTTACCAACCAGAGGTTCTCCAAAATCTCTTTTATTTGCAGCAGTCTTGCATGAGGGGAATCGCTTTTCTCAGGTTTACTAAGAGTTCTACCGCCAGCGAGAGATATAGGCTATAAAGACCACAATGTCATCCACTTTGGCGGATGCGCCGGTGATTGACTTGGTGGAGGATCTAGAGGATGGCGAGATCGACGACGATGACGAGGAGGAGGAGCAGCCAGCGCCGCCAAAGATCCAGGCCCAGAAAAAGGTTTCCCCAGCGGATGAAGAGGTCCAATTTGTGGGCGTTGAGCTTAAGAACAAAATCGCCGACGAGGATGTCGTCTATATGGGACTATCGGCTGATTCCACAGGTCCACAAAATAGCAATAGCAGCAAGTCCAAGAAGCCCAGGCCATTGGAAGGTAAAAGCTCAGGGGGTTCTTTGATTTAGCTTGATTATATATTTTATTGATTGTATTTCCTTGTAATCTTGTAATTCATTAGATGATCATGCTAGCAGCATCGAGAATGCCATTGCTAATGCCTTAAAGAAGAAGGGCATTGAGCCGCCAATGCCCAGGATGCGTTCGTCCAACCAGGACATGGGCGATCTTTCCTTGGAGGGACTAGCCGGGGAGGGAAATCCCCTCCAGCAGCCAAGTCGCAGCAGCAGGCGAAGGAAGCGCAAAAAAGAGCGCGAGCGAGAGCAAAAGAAGGACAAGGACCACCAGGTGAGGCCCTTTTCCAATTTCTTCTACCAATATCCAACCTCTTATTCTTAATCATTAGAATTCCTTAAATATCTCTAACCATCTTTGATTTGTATTTCCGTAATTTTCGCCCTAAAATATCAGTTTTTTTTGCGAAAACAAAGGAAATAATTGCCCAAATATGGAATGTCATACCTTGTTGAACTCGTAGCTTAATTCTGAATCGTTTTGCGTTTAAGTCTCGACATTTTATTTTTTGCCATTTTTTGCAAAAAATCATGATGTAACCCCTTATCAAAAATGCGAAAATTGGTAAAAAATTAAATTCTCCCAAAAGTGATGGGAATCGTTAGTTTAGGTTCAAAACAGTCAGTCGCTTAGCCGTGGGCCTTGATTTGTCCAAATTACGACTGAAAAACTGAAGAAAAAGTTTATTTTTTGTCTATTTATTTTGAAGACCTTCGGTACATTTTAAAAAAACAAAACACTCTCAGGGGTGTCACAGAAATCTATGTCAACGAATTTGGATTGAATTCTACGTAATAATTACATCAATACAAATCCTATTTGTATTTTATATTTTTAAAGATTTTAAATTTAGATTTCCTATTCCATACACGAATTTGTTGCATACTCTACAAATACAAATTATTTTCTTACACGAGAACATGGTAATCTTGGCAAATGATGTAATAATGTGTTTAAGCAGCGTATCAAACATCCATGACGGATTGTTTTCCCATATAGATCACTCCCTTGTCTTTAGTTTCCGTCTTTAGTTTGGCATCAGCTAGCAACTTGATTGCTGCATGGTTCTGTTTAGCTGGCTGCAACCCAGCCAGGTGGGTATAAATATAAGGCAGGGTCCAAGGAACCCGTTTCCAGGACAAGGAATTGTAATTTTCTAGTAATTTTTATATTGGTATTTTCTGGTTTTTATATGGGATGGGTTTTATTACTTTTTAAAACCCCTGATTAATTATTACTATATTAGGATTATTAAGTAGGAACCCAAGTATTTTTATGCATGAGATATTCCTATCCCATGATATCCTAACTTAAATATCTCATTTATCTCCATTTCTCCATTTAATCCTTTGCTTTCCGTCTTGATCCTCTCCAGAAACGGTCGCGCCGTGAAGATGGCGACGTGTCCAGCGTGGCGGGCGGTGCTGGCAGTGATGACATGGACATGGAGTACGAGATGATGAACGTGCGCGGCGGCAGTCCGCCGCCCGGAGGAGTAGCACCTCCCTCCTCCGGCGGCGGTGGTGGTGGTCATTGGGACGACGGCTCTGGCGCGGGCGGAGGAGGCGGCGGCGGTGGAGGCTACGACTCGCAGCAGGACCCCTACAGCAGCTACGATTCCTACTCCGAGGAGGAGGCATCCGCGGCACCTGGGCTGATGAATCAGCGGCGGCGAATGCGACGGGAAAGGGAGAAGGAGCAGCAGCAGCGGGGTGGCAACAATCGCAAGCGGAGGGATCGCGATCGCCACGAGGGCGCCGGCGGAGGAGGAGCCAAGCGAAATCGCCGCGACTCGGGAGGCGAGGGAGGAGGTGCCGGCGGCGGTGGACAGATGGAGAAGATGGGCGGCGGCGGCGGCGGAGGCGGCGGTGGTCGCATTGAACCCCGCAAGCTGGAGCTGTGCAAGTTCTATCTGATGGACTGCTGTGCCAAGCGCGACAAGTGCTCCTACATGCACAAGGAGTTCCCCTGCAAGTACTACTACCTGGGCATGGACTGCTATGCCGGCGACGACTGCCTCTTCCATCACGGCGAACCGCTGACCGAGCAGCTGCGCAACATCCTGCTGAAGCACATGGAGACGGCGCCCAAGGAGATCTTGGGTGACTTTAAGCGAATATCGAGGGACATTGCCATGGGCCAGATGACGCGACGGCACGAGCAGTTGTGCGAGCAGTTCAAGCGGGAGAACACCTGGAGCATGATGGGCAATGCGGGGATGGGCAGGCGACAGGATCAGCAGCAGCAGCACATGCAGATGCAGCAGCAGCAGCAGCAACAGATGCAGCAGCAACAACAACAGATGCAGCAGCAGCAGGAGCAACAGCAGCAGCAACAACAGGCGGGTGCCGAGTGCATTCCCTCGCTCCTGGACATGGTCATCAATCCGCCGCATCCGGAGAAGAAGCGAAAGTCCCGCTGGGCTGACAAAACGGCCGCCAAGGCGGCAGCGGCAGCAGCAGTAGCTGCCCCAGAAACGGGCAACACATCGCCGGCGGCCAAGCCATTGCCACCTCACCTGGACCTGGCCAACCTCAGTCACGTCCTGAGTGCCGAGAACATGGCCAAGCTGAACAAGCTGGGCATCACCAACCTGGAGCAGATGCTGCAGGTGCCCTTTGGCCAGCTAACCGAGGCGGGGCTCACGCTAGTCGAGCTGGGCGAGATTCAGCGCAAGGCGGAGGACGCCAAGCCACAGACAACCCAAACCGAAACGCCAGTCAGGTAGGCTCATCACTTGGAAAGCCGCATTCTTATCAGCTACTTACGCTTATATTTACTCTTTCCGCAGCACTCCCGTTGCGAAGCCAGAAACGGAGGCCAGCAACAGCAACTCCAACAGCAATGGCTTCATCATGGTGGACTACACGCAGTATCTGAAGGATGCACATGTCAGCTTCTCGGGCAACGATCCGCGTGAGTTGAGGGATTACTTGATATTTAGCTTTAGAAAGATTTTATACCCTAGGAGGGGGTATAATGATTTTAGTCAGTCGATCTAGCCATGTCCATCTATCCATCCGTCTGTCCGTCCGTCTGTCCGTTTGTCCGTATACTTCCACGCAAACTAGTCTCTCAGTTTTTAAGCTATCGGGATGAAACTTTCCCAAAAGTCTTCTTTCTATGGCAGGTAGTATATAAGTCGGAACCGACCGGATCGGACAACTATATCTTATAGCTCCCATAGGAAAGATCGGAAAAAAAGGTTAACAAAATTCTAGCTTCTGTATTTTTTGAAATATTTACCTTCTACTCTTGGGAACATTATTTTTTAAATTTCTGTATTTCGAATTAAATTTTAGAAAAATCGGATCACTATAGCTGCCATAGGAACGGTCGAAAAATTAAGGGAAATTAATAGGAAAAAAACAAGAGAGAACGCTATAGTCGGGTTGGTGTCCCGACTATCTAATACCCGTCACTCAGCTAAAGGGAGTGCGAGGGAGATAGATATATAATTTTTGATTGCGTATAACTTTTTAATGAATGGTCCGATTTGAAAAATGTCTTCTACATTTCGATATACACAACAAAATTGCATTTATACTTCTCGGAAATCTTTAAAGATGTGGGCGCAGGACCCATTTCAAAATCGTTAGTGGGCGATTGTGGGCGTTAGAGGGGGCGTGGCGCTCGGCTAAAATAAACTTGCGCTGCGTAGGAAGCCAAAGAATATGTGTGGGAAATCTCAACCTTCTAGCTTTTGTAGTTTCTGAGATCTCAGCGTTCATACAGACGGACAGACGGACAGACAGACAGACAGACAGACAGACAGACAGACAGACAGACAGACAGACGGACATGGCTAGATCGACTCGGCTAGTGACCCTGATCAAGAATATATATACTTTATGGGGTCGGAAACGCTTCCTTCTAGCTGTTACATACTTTTGCACGAATCTAGTATACCCTTTTACTCTACGAGTAACGGGTATAATTATTATTACATTCTCTTCTTCTCACATTTCAAAATGTCGAATTAAATTTAACAAAATTCGGACGTCTATATTACATAGATTCCAGAAGAAGGATAAAAAAAATAATGCCAAAATAATACGAAAGCAGCTAAAATTTGGATTGTTTTAACGTATAAGCAAGTAAATCTAAATTTAATGATTTTATAAGTTAATAGGAATGATCTCAAGATTAGATTTGAAATTAAGATAGGAAGAGTAATCTAATTTTACACCACAGCTTGCTTTAAATCACCTTACTCATTGACTTCTTCTCCGTTTCATTCAAGTGGACGACGATCGCGATGACGACGAACAACTGGTCATAGACGATGGCAACGAGTCCACCGCCGAGGAGGAGCAGCCGGCAAGCAAACAGCAGGTGGCCAAGGCGCCGCCAGTCGCTCGTCAGGACTCTGCCTCCGCCGAGGAGGCGCCGCTGCCCTCCGTCTTCGATTTGCCCAGCTTCATGAGCAACATGCTCCAGCAGGCAGGTCAGGCATCCAGCCAGCAGCTTCTGCCGGCCAGTGCCACGTCGCCCACCCAGGAGACGGCAACTGGCCAGCTGGAGCCATCGGGGGGCCCCAAGTCGGGGGTGCCGCCGAGCAGCTCCACCAATGTGTTCAGCCGGATTCTGTTCGGCGACAAGCAGGCGGATCCCGAGGCCAGGGCGGCCTTCTACCGCGACATCATCCGCAATCCCTTCAAGGCGCACAGCGGCGACGGGGACGTGGACTCGGCCAATGAGAACTCCAACTCCAATTCGCGCTCGCTGACGCCGACGCCCACGCCGGAACCGGGATCGCAGTCGCCCAAGCAGGAGGAGATGCCCGAGTTGCCTGCCATTACGCCTGTGCTGCCGCCCACGACGCCCTCGCTCTACGTGCGTCCCTCCATGTACGACTTTGACCCATCCAAGGTGGAGGAGCTGCAGCGACCGGAGGCGGGCGAGGAGCTGCGCCAGCGGGACACGGACATGCGACTGCCGTTCGAGCCGATGAAACACTATATGCCCGCCACCGAAATCGATGCGGCCATCTTCTCGCACACGCCGCTTCGCTGGCAGCTGCAGGAGGTGTCCGTGGAGGAGGCCAGCTACGCGCAGATCCGGCTGAGTGCCCAGCACAAGGAGCAGCGCGACCTGAGGGATCCCCGCATGCGTCGCATCCTCGGGCTGCCCGAGATGCCGGATAATGGAGGAGTCCTGGGTTCAATGGGAGGCAGCTTATCGGGAGGAGGCGGAGGAAGCTCCTCCTCGATCAGCGACTCCTTTGGCCGTTCCGGGGCGACCATAGCCTCGCCGGAGTCGGATACGAACGCGATACGCGATGCCACGCCCAGTTCTCCGCCCCCGACGCTGGCCCATCTGCCCTCCATGAGCGTACCGCCGCCATCGATGAGCGTGCCGCCGCCCAGTCTGCCCGTGGAGAAGCCCCAAGTGCGGGCAGATCCGCGTCGCGATCCCAGGAGAGCCCACCTTCAGGCGCAGGCGCAGGCGCAGGCTCAGGCGAATCCCGCTCCTGCCACCACATCGAATGCCACCGGGGGCAGCAAGCAGATCTCCGAGATCCGCAGCCTCATGCAGAGCTCCAACTGGTACAAGAACCTGGGCAGCAACAACAAGATCATGGTCAACCAGCAGCTCGCCTTGGTCTTCACCGAGCTCAAGAAGTTCCACCAGCTGCCCGAGGATGCCCCGAAGATCTTCGACGTGGGCTTCATCGTGAACAGCCCCACGTTGCAGCAGATCTTTGCCAAGCTCTACATCTTTGTGGACGACAATGGTCAGGTGGTGCAGATGCCCGAGGAGAATAATTCAGTGGGTGGAGCAGCAGCAGGCGGCGGAGGAGGAGTGGTGCTGCCGAATCTATCGCAACCTCCACCAAATCTGGCTCAGATGTTAAGGGTACCACCGCCGAATATACGAATGCTACGCATGTCGGGAATGATGATGCAAATGGGGGCGCCTCTGTTCAATCAGCCACCTCCACGAGCTGGACTGCTGGGAATGCCACCCAATGGAGGAAACCAGGGTGGAGGACCAGGACCTGTGCCCAATGGCAATCCCTTTAATCCCTTTGCGGGCGGAGCGGGCAACAATGGAGGAGGCGGCGGAGGAGGAGGAAACAACATGGGCAACATGGGCATGCCCTTCAAGAATTTCAACAACGGAAATAACAACAACAATAACAACAATGGGGGCGGCAGAGGTGGACACTTTCCAGGTGGAGGAGGAGGAGGAAACAATCGCAATCAGCGGGGGAGGCGGTAATCAGCGAGTGTCGCCAGGATAAACCAACAACATAAAAGACTTGTTATGCCAAAATGATGTTGATGTTATGCCCCATGACCCATGCCCCATTTACCCCAAGTAACCCGGCCTTGTTTCTCCCCCCACTCCTATTTTTTTTTTATAGAGAATCCGGGCTTCGACTGCTTTGTACATTGTATTCTATTCTATTCCTTAATTCCCCATCATTGTCACTATTTTTTTGGCTAGGTGTAAGGACGAGCCCTTATAGCATGTAGCCCTACTACGTACTGATAAATGTAGTTAATAGTAAAACGAGAAAAACAGAGAAACTTAAGAAGGAAAAGCTGAGGAACAGGAACAGAAACAGAAAGTCAAGTAGAATTGGTATGTGACCTTTTTTACCGAGCTCTTTTGAATAACGTAGGATTAAACTGTTTATTTGTGCGTGTACTACATTGATAAACTAGACATACCAACTACAAATAAATAACATGTTTTAAGTAATGCCAGGCCTTGACGAAAGTGCAGGAGAAGTTTGGGAAACTAGATTATTAGTTATTTGTGTTTAAACTACTTGCAAAGAGTTTTTTGTGATGATTTGTTATTTAAATTATATATTTATTATGTATGTAGTTATTCATTGACTTAATGAATATTTTAATTACCTCATCGATAAGTAACTTTGAATTTAGATTGACGCGCGCTCGATTTGGTAATCATTGCACCTATCGATAGTTACGATACTAGGGCAAAACAAGCTAGCGCCCACTGGTCACACTCCAAGAACCTAAGCCATCGATAACAGATTTTCCAGCTATTCCAATAGTTTCTCTTCAGTTTTAAATTAACTTTGTTAACTTTGCTGAAGATAAAAGCAAAAAGCAACACCTCTTTATTCTGGAACGCAACCAATTGAAAGTTCTCTACATCTACATACCCAGGAGCGGAACCAATTGTTCGTCTATCGTTTATCGAATCACATCTGGCGATGAATTAACACAACAACAAGGAAATAGTGGAAATGGATCTGCGCCGGAAGCTTCTGGAGGCGGAATCTGGAGAGGACCGGGACGAGGCGCGCCTGCAGCTGATGCGGGAGCTGCACCCGCAGCTGGGCGTGCCGGTGGGCGTGGCGGGTGAGCGTCTGCAGCAGCTAATCGCGGAGGTGCGAGCGAGAGGGCAGCCGCACCTGTTGCGCCTGTGGCAGCTGTGGCTCCAGGAGCTCCTCCTGGCCCGCAGGATCATCCTAGTGCGCTCCCACCTGCTGGTGGCCGAGCTAATAGCCGAAGGACAGCCGGAACCCTCCGTCGAAGCCCTTAATCTCCTGCTAACACTGCTAAAGGCGACGCCCAAGGAGAAACTGTCTGTTTTCTGGCCGAGATTGAGCGCTTTAACCCAGGTGAAGGACATAGAAGCAGCCCTGCTGCTGCTGCAGTGCCAGGAGCACGTGCTGGCCGAGCTGGAGGAGTCGCCGGAGGAGGGCAGCCACACCCGCAACCTGGCCAACTCGCTCATCCAGCTGCATTTCGAGGGCTGCTTTCTGGAGGAGCAGCAGCAGCAGCTGCCCCGCCTGCTGGCGCACAGCCTGCAGCTGCTCCAGAAGCTGCTCACCCGCCAGCCGGACTACGCGGCGCAGCGTGTTCCCGAGCTGATGGGCCTGGTGCAGTGCTACCTGCAGTTTGGAGCCGAAGGAGAAGCGACGACGACGCTGGTCAAGCCCCGCAAGCTGCCGCCCGCCCAGCAGTCGGCTGCCTATGGCGGCCAGGAGCAGGATGCGTCGGACTCCCAGCAGTCGCGCTCCTGCGGCCGCAAGAACAAGGTGCGCAAGATGCGATCCCTGGCCAAGCAGCGCCAGCAGGCGGCGGTCAGTGAGCCCCCGGATCCGCTGCTCCTGCTGGGCCACCAGGACTACGGCTGCCTCACCGGCGACTCGGGCGAGAACTGCCCGCCCTCGGATTCGGATCAGCAGCAGGCGGAGGAGAGCAAGCATCTCCGCCAGCTGCAGGCCAAGGTGAGGATCTCGGCGCTGCACTTGCTCGGCTCGCTGACCAACCAGTTGCCCCGCCGCTCGCTCTACGGCTACTGGCACGTCCTCTTCCCCGACGGCGGCGACTCGGGCGGCGGTCGCCACCTGCTGCTCCTCGGCCAAAGGGACACCAATTCCCGCTGTCGCGCTTTGGCCCTGCAACTGGGCACCCAGCTGCTCTACGGCTCGAAGGCGTTCCTCAGCCAGGCCTGCTCCCGCGGCCCCAGCAACTTCACGCCCTTCGCCGTCAGCCTGGCCAGCTCGGTGCTGGCCGCCTATCGCACTCTGAGCTCCATCCTCGAGCGGGAGTTCGCGCCGCCCGTGCTGACGCAGTGCCTCAAGTGCCTGGCCGTTCTGGTCCAGGCCACGCCCTTCGATCAGCTGGAGATGGGCTTTGTCTACGAGTTTGTGGGCCATGTGAAGAAGCTGGTTAAAAGCGAAGATCCGCCGGTGGCCGTTTCTGCTTTGCTGGTCATGGAAATGCTGGTGGGCACGTCTAAGATGACGCCGGAAATTGCCAGCTCGGTGGGATTGGCGCCCAGCCAGAGGAATCTTGAGCAAATCACACAGGAGGAGGACTACCAGGAGCTGTGCGACTCAGAGGTGGAACTCGAAGAGGAGGAGGAGCAGTCAGCAGGGAGAAATTCAGTTAAACCGGCAGTTAAACCAGTGCCACCGTCAATTCCACGCAACTCCTGGCTGCTGAGGCAGGTTCTCCGTTACCTAGAGGGTCCCGGCACCCCGACCACCGTGCGCCTGGAGTGCTTTCAGGTGCTCCAGGCCATGGCCACGCACGTTGGCCTGCTGCGCGGCCACCAGGCTCGCCTGGCAAGGGTGATCTCCGGCGGACTAAGCGACCCTGCTGCGGATGTGAAGCTGTACGCCGCCCGCTGCCTGGATTCGGTGGGCTACCAGCTGGGAAGACTGCTGCCGGAGGCGTCGGAAAAGGAACTGCAGCTGTCCTTCTGGCTGAGACTGCTCCCCGCCACCTATGCCGCCTACGATGGCGCCGGCTTCCCGCTGAAGTGCGCCCTCTGCGATGCGCTGTCCAACATGGGAGCCTTCAGCTTCGAGCGGCTGTCGGATGGCGAGAGGACCGCCCTGCTGGCCTTCCTCAGCGGCTGCGCCAGCGACGACCACGAGGAGACGCTGGTCAGGGGAGCCGCTCTGCGGGCCATGGCCGTCTACGTGCTGCATCCCTCGCTGAAGACGGATCTGGGATTTGTGGAGAACGCGGCGGAGCTGACGCTGCGCATCATCGGCGACGCGCAGCTGGCGGTGAGGATCAAGGCCGCCTGGGCGCTGGGCAACATCAGTGACGCCTTGATTGCCGCCTGCCTACAAACGGAGAGAGTCTCCGGCGAACTGCTGCGACGCCTCATCCAGGCGGCCACCAAGAGCTGCGGCGAACACGACAAGGTGCGCGCCAATGCAGTGCGCGCCCTGGGGAATCTCCTGCAGATCCTCCAGCTGCAGAACAGCCGGGAGAATGGCGAGCAGATGCAGCTGGCCATGGCCAAGCTGCTGGACTGCGTGCGCTCCTCGGGCAACGCCAAGGTCAAGTGGAACGCCTGCCATGCCATCGGGAATCTGGTGCGGCACCGGGCCTTCTTTGCCAGCGGCCAACTGGCAGGGATCCTGTTCCCCGCCCTCAGCCAGCTGGTGGTGCACAATGCCAACTTCAAGGTGCGCACCAATGCCGCCGGCGTGCTGCTGCAGGTGGAGCAGCGCCAGGATCTGGGCGCCCACTTTCCGCTGGTCTGGCGTTCGCTGCTGGAGGCCCTGGAGCGCTCCAACGCGCTGGACAGCTTCGAGGAGTACAACCATCGGGATGCCCTGCAGCAGCAGCTCTGCCTGGCCATTGCCCACCTGCTCCAGCTGGCCAGGAGCTCCGATTTGCCCGCGATGCGGGAGTCGCTGGAGGAGGACCGCCTGGAGGAGGTGCGGGCCACGTGGCGGCGCGTCGCCTTCCGCATCGTTCCCGAGCAGTCGGCGCCGCTCTTCACCTGCAGTCCGCGGCTCGAGCAGCGTCTGCAGGCGGAGGTGAGCACCCAGCAGCGCTGCGCCCTGGCCTTCATTACGAGCACGCTGCGGCTGGAGCCGTAGGATGGAGGAGCCACCTAGCCTAATCCCACAAATAAAAGCATCATTAACCGTTGTCTTTGCATTGCTTTTGATATGATATTGAATTATTTTACTTTTGTCGACAGCGGAAACGGCTACAGTTTGAGAGCAATTGATAAATGCTAAGCACATTGTGTGGTTTGGGTCTTGGGCAAGGATGGTGTACCGGCTACAGTTTGAGAGCGATTGATTAATAATAAGCATCTTACATGGTTTGAGTCTAGGATAAAGAGTGGGGTGGCTACAGTTTGAGAGCACTTGGTAAAACAATACATGGTTCGTGTCTTGGGTGAGGGCGAACCGGTTACAGTTTGAGAGCAATTGGTAATTGTTCAGACAAACCTTGCATGGTTTGTGTCATGGCTAAGGGATGGGCCGGTTACAGTTTGAGAGCAATTGGTAGAGTTACTGCCAAAAACTTTGCTCAATATTGAAGTACTTTGTGACGCTATCTTGACCTACGTTTTTCGGCATATTTTAAAATTGAGGTCGGTTGCGACGCTATCTTGACCAAAGTTTTTGGCAAAACTCAAAATTGAGGTAGTTTGTGACGCTATCTTGACCAATTCCGCCAAAAAATTTTTTAAAAATCCAAAATTGATCAGAAAAATCCGAAAAAAATCGCAAAAAATCCAGAAAAATGCCAAATGCCCGAAAAAAATACAAGCAACTTCAATTTTTATAAAGTGTATTTGTATATATGTTTGTATATATAATGTGGATTGCCTTAATTTGATTTGTTAGTGGTCGCTGATCCATGAGATCCAAGGACCTGCGACCGATGGATGTGTGTGTGTTTGTGTTGTGGTGTTCAGGTATTTACTAAAATTCCCTTCAAGTTTCGGGTGTTTACATTGTGTATGGGGTTATCATATGAATTATATGGTTGGCTGGCGTTAAACAAACTATAAAAGAGATGCGTACGATTGGTTGTGGTTGGGTTTTAAATTAAAATGTCATACTAAAAGAGTTAATAATAAAAAAAAACAATCATAAAATAGTCGAACGTGCGCCGGAGTAGCCAGCGTGTAAAAAGAGTGGCCCTCGGCGCCGGTTTTTTTTTAGTTTTTCTGTGTTTTTGTGTTGTGTTTGTGTTGTAATAGCCTTAAGTCTAAGCTGCCCCCGAAAAGCCCCGTGTCTATGTCTCGTGTTCTCCTCCTGCTCCCCGGCCGCTCCCCTCGGCGGGCACGGCGGCCTGCAGCTCCCGTTCCCGATCCCTGTCCCGGTCGTCCAGGACGGCCTTGATCTGGCTGAGATGCGGCGGCAGGTCGCGCACCACCAGGCGCTGCTTCGCCTCCGCAATGCCGCCCAAGCCGGGCTCGTCCCCGAAGCTTAGCATGCGCTTGCCCCCGCGTACCTTTTCGTTCATCAGCTGGAGGTCCTGTGGATGCAAGTTTTATTAGTAAACAGCATAGACATATATAATATAATAGTATTACCTTGGCTGGACTGTGGTAGAACCTGTAGACCATCTGATTGGGCGACTGCTGGATCTCGTTCTTGGGCATCTGGGAGACGAAGAGCGAGTGGTTCTGGGTGACCTTCTTGGGCTGGGCGGCCCGCTCCTTGGGATGCGGGGAGAGCAGCAGGTCCGAGTTGCGGCCACTCACGTCCGGCGTTACGTTCAGGTAGTCGATGGCGAACTGGCGGATCATCGGCACATATATGTTGTTGTAGAACTGAATGATGTCCTTCACCTTTGGCTCGCCCTCGTCGTTGAACTCGATGAACACCTCGCGGTAGACGCTGTTCACCGCCTGCGGCTGGTTGCGATATGCCCGCATGATGTCACTGAACTTGGGGTCCTCCATTCGCTTTACCTATTGGAATTAGAATTAGATGGGTTATAAGTTAATTTGCATTTACACCAAGATTTCCATGCTTGCATTATGTAAGCCAGTGAAACAGACAGAGAAAGACATATGTATTTAAAGAGCCCTACGTGAATAATTCAATTTTGATTTGTTTAATTCAATTCTATGTGAAATAAATTGAATATTTTTCTAATTAATTTCGAATCGAATGCATGAATGAATAATTTTTATGAATTTGCCAGATTTTTTTTGCTTTCTTTTGAGAACAAAAAGTGGCAAATTTTTAACAAATCAATGCTTAGAAAATAAAATTCATGCAGATTTCATCACAAAATTATGGCCTTTTCTTCTTCAAAAGAAATTGTCGTTTGAATTATTTCGGAATTCATGCCATTCATTCATTTAATTCTATTAAACTCAAAATTTAAATTCTTTTAAACTCAAAATTCTAATTAATTCATTCATATAAAGCAAAAAATTACAAATAATTAATTGAATCCATTCATGCAGGGCTCTAATATACATAAATACTCACTCTAATGTAGATATATATTGCACACATGATATTTTGATCGAGGTGGCGGTCCTTCATCAAGTCCGTCTCGTGGGTGATCGAGTGCTCGAAGATGTGCCAGATGCACTCGGGCGTCTTCTCGCACAGCCCCAGCTCCGAGCAGAGCTTCTGGATGCGCAGCCAGCCCAGGAGGTAGACTTTGCGCAGGAAGATCTGCAGGGCGCCGGCGGAGCGGTCGCGATTCACCACCAGCGACGTGGGCAGCGGCGGCGGGGCGGAGGAGATCATGTCCCAGACGGTCGAGTCGCGCGCCCAGGCCAAACGCTCCAGGCACGTCTCCTCGATCGAGTTGAGGTGCTTGATCAGCGAGCGATTCAGACAGCCCTCGTGCGAGCCGTGCCGCACCACAATCTCGATGATCTTCTGGAACTCGAACGCACTAATACTGAAACAGTCGAGCACCCAGGGGAACTTGAGCTCCGTCTCGTAGGCCTCCAGCACGAGCTCCACGCAGCAGGCCATTAGCGTGATGTTGAAGATGTCCAGCGAGATCTTCTGCACCAGCAGACGCTTGAGATCGATGTCGGGCTTGTTGCGGATCTCCGCCTGCAGGATCTGGTCGAGCAGGTAGAAGTAGAAGGACTTGGCCAGCTGGAAGCGGCTCTTCGCCTCCGTCGAGGGATATTTGGCGAGGAATTTCTGCTTGATTTCCTCGATGATGTTGAGCAGCTTGGCGATCACCTCTTCGCCAGCTTGCCTGTGGGGAAACACAGATATTAGCATTTATTTTTGACAAGTTAGAGCATCCTCTACTCACTTGACAAAGTCCGTGGGCTCGGTGATGCGACTGAAGGCGCTCAGCTGCTTCACATTGTTGGTGGCGTTGCGGACGGGCTCGAATTTGTCGCCCGCCATCGACGGCTGGGCGGGCAGGTCCTGTTTGCGGGTGAGCGGCGTCACGGGCGGACGCAGCGACTGGTCGTTGAGCCCCGTGTGGTCGCCCGCATCGTAGGCACTTAAAATGCGCTCGTCGAACTCGCCCACACTGAGCACGTACTGTTCGTAGCTAATGTTCAGGGATTTCAGGTTGCGCTCAAAGTTCTCGTTGGACAGCAGGCCCAGCATGGTGTCCTTGCTGCCGTAGATGGTCTATAGATAAGAAACAGTAAGTAATTGCAAGTTATAAAGCCTTTTGCCATACCGAAGTCTGAAAGAAGCTCGACATGATCTGGCGGAAGGTGGTGGCCTTCATGGCCTTCGCCTCCTCGGTCATGTCGCAAAAGTAGGCCAGAATGCAGTGCTGCTTGTGACGCAGGTCCAGCTCCGTCCAGTTGCTCGGCAGGCCCTCGAACTTGCTATTGATGAGATCGGTGCGCTTCTCGGCCAGCACATTGTTGTATATCAGATCGATGCAGCAGATCATCAGGTTGAACGAGGTCACCAGATCCACGGTGTTGCTGGGCTTCTGATTCTTGGCGCAGAGGAAGAGCCGCCAGCAGATGTCGTCCAGCTTGATGTACGAGCACTTGCCATGGGCATGGTTGCCATGCAGGGAGCTGTTTTACAGAGATTTTCATTCAGATTTGGTTAGGAAAAAGTGTGAAATACCCACATGTACTTGGAGTGCTTCTTCTCGTTGGGCGGACAGGAGAAGATCTTGTCGAAAATGGTGCGGAAGCGCTTGTACAGGGTAAAGGTGATGCTAAACTTGCGGTCCAGCACCTCAATCTCGTTGACAAACTCCTGGGGAAGGTTGGCCATGTCGCACCACTGCTTGATCTTCGTCTTGAAGTCGTATATGCTGGGGAAATTACATATATATGGATTAGGAATAGGAATGGTAAGGCAACTGGCAGACCTACCTCATCTGGCAGCAGCGCAGCAGGTTGTTAAGGGACACACAGTTGCCCCTGACCACCGCATCCTGGCCAATCACCGTGGGCGTGCTGGATCTCCGGCAGGCGGCGTACAAGGCGCAGCACAGCCAGTGGATGGACTCGCCCTGTAAAGGAGTAAAGAAGCTTATTAGATGGGTTCTACTAATCCTGCTGCTTACCCACCTCCAAGGAGCAGCGCTGGGAGACCTCGTGGTACATCTGATAGCCCTGCAGCTCCGTCTGGCGGTCCATGTTGAGCTCACGGCACAGATTCGTGTACTTGGCCTTGGTCATCTCCTGGCCGTCGTCGCTCGTGGCCACCGATCCGCTGACCACCTCGGCGCCCAGCTCCTGCGGCTCGGGCTCACTCATCGCTGGGTAGCTGCTGTAGCTGCTTTCCCGGCTGAATTTTCCGCTCTTTATCTAGGTTTTCCCGGGGTTGGTTCACCTTCAGTGAAACGTCGTAGCTCTAGACTTATCGCTGACTGCTCCTAGTGGCTGCCGGTGTGCGCTGCTCGACCCGCTTCGCTCCTCACGCACATGTAACTGTTTGTTTTCATAAATATTACATTAAATTATATAAATAATATATATTTTCCCGCCGAAACGACTTGCGGGCACATCATATCGATATCGATAACTATCTCGCCAACTATCGATGTGTGTGCGCGCGCGTGTTTATGTGTGTGCCTTGAGTTTGCGTGTGTGTGTGTGTGTGAAACACCCACCTTGTAACTTTTGTGCCCCAAAAATTGGCACTAAAATTAAAAACAAAACAAGCAACGCTGCTAGTAGCTACGACCAGCGGCAGGCTTATCAGTCGAGTTGCACTAATATGGCTACTAAATTCACACTTTTCATACCATAGAAAAAGGCGGGAAAACGCGGCGAGGTTGCCAAGTCGGGGAGATTGAGCGAGAGGGTGCGGATTTCCGGCGACTCGACTCGGCGACTCCTTCACACTTTCACTTGCACTTGCTGCACTTTGCCTTCACACTGCCCAACACGAAGCTAAAGCCTTTTTCGTCCCAATTTTCGCGGATAATCCGCTTTTCTTCTTTTTTTTTTTGTACGTGTTCTTCTTCTTCTTCTTGTTTCCACCGATGATAAGCTATCGATAGACAGCGACGGTCTGGCAACGTTGCGAAAATCAGCAGATCGAACAGCTGTGCGTCTACCGGTAATCGATAGTCGGCAGATGGTGTGGTGAATTCAAATGGATTTGAAAATGGCAAAACACAATGGAATTTAATTACACTTTACAAACTTTAAATAGCACTCTTTAATTTACGATCGCGGTGAGGGGCTCCTCGACAGGCGGGCCAGCAGCTGGAAGCGTTTATGCCGCCGGGCAAAGGCGGCCGTTAAACCCGCCGCCGTGGACAGCTCGTTGATCTCCTGGGAATCGGTGGCCAAACTGGAGGTCACCGAGGTATCGGGGGTCACCGAATCGCCATCTCCACTCGCACTGGCATTCGCTTTTCTAACTGCCCTGCTCCAGGTGACGGTAACATCGCTCTCATCGCCCATTCCATCCTGCTCCTTGTGGCTTGTGCTCCTGGCCAGCAGCTCCTCTTCCTCCTTGCCGACGATCCGCTGCAGCCTTTGGGTCAGCTGGGCGGCAGACACTCCGTACTGGCTCAGCATGCGTCTGAGCTCCATGTCGAGGGCGGGAATCCCCTTCCTCTGGCTCAGATCTTCCTGGATATTCGAGCCGCTCACCGAGGTGGCCTTGCTGAGAGTCAGTTTTCCTGGCTCCTCCTCCGTCTGCTGTGCCTTGTTTCGCACCTGGATGGGATTGGGATCCCAGGCCTTCTCCTCCTTCAGCTTCTCCTTCAGCTTTTCCTTCAGCCTCTCCTTCAGCCTGCGAGGGGATCGAGGGGACCAGATAATCTCCAGGTGGTTCTGGCCCTGGTGTTTCTCCTCCTCCTCCTGCTGCTGCTTCAGCCGCTCCTGCCGGATGTCCATAAGCTTGGGCCGCCGGCTGAGCCTGGAGTTGGGCACCAGGAGCCGTGGCCACAGGCTGCGGTGGTAGATGTGGGCCCTGCTCATCGGCTGCCCCGTCTGCGGATTCACCTCCACGACGGTGGCGCGCACAAAGTTATCCGGACAGCGCAGGCGCGTCTCGCTGATCGAGGAGGCGCTGTTGCCGCCGGAGTTTCCCGCCTTCCGCCGGTGCCACAGCTGCATCGGGTTGTTCTCCTCCTGCCGCTGCTCCTGCTGCTGCTCGTTGGGCTCCACGTAGGCAATCAGCCGCTGGAAGTTCGGACGCGGCACCCCCACGCCGCAGAGTGCGTCAAAGGACTCGGAGTCGAACATCAATTTCAATTTATCTACGTTTCTTTTTAAGCTACAGATTTCTGTCCCTGTTAAACTGAAAACTATATAAAAACTGATAAGTTTAACTAAGGGGTTACATCATGATTTTAGAAAGGTACGACACTCCATATTTGGATCATTATTTCCATTGTTACGACCAAAATACTGATATTTTAGGATAAAAAATAAAGATTCGAATTTTTGGAAAAAATATTCCTTTTTTGTTTGGTTTTTTAGTCGTAGCTTGGACAATTCCAGGCCTACAGCTAAAAGACTTACTGTTTTGAACAGCTAACGACCTAAACTAACAATCCCAATCAATTTCTAAGAAATTTATTTTTTGATCAATTTTTGCATTTTTAATAATGGTTACATCATGATTTTTTGACAAAAAATTGACAAAAATTAAAATGTCCAGATTTGAACGCAAATCGATTCAGAATTTAACAAGTTATGACATTCCATATTTGGACCATTATTTCCATTGTTCTGGCCAAAATACTGTTTTTTTTGGGGTGGAAAATCAGAATCTTGATTTTTGGTAAAAATTTGATTTTTTTGTTATAGATATTTTGCTGTAACTTGGACAAAAATGGTCACAAATCAAAAAGGCGGACTGTTTTGAGCAGCTAACAACCTAATAATTAATATCAGCGCATTTTCCGACTGATTTGAGAAAATTAATTTCTGACCCAATTTTCGCATTTTTGATAAGGGGTACCATCACAGTTTTTTGCGAAAAATGGCAAAAAATTTACATTATCAGATTTGAATGACAATCGATTGGGAATTTAATTACGAGCTCAGCAAGGTATGACACTCCATATTTGGATAATTATTTCCATTGTTACGACAAAAAAACTGATATTTTAGGGTGAAAAATAGGAATTCGAATTTTCGACGAAAATAATGCTTTTTTGTATGGTTTTTCAGTCGTAGCTTGGACAATTCAAGGCCTACAGCTAAAAGACCTACTGTTTTGAACAGCTAACGACCTAAACTAACGAACTCAATAACTATCTGGGAAATTTATTTTTTTTTAATTAAAGCCTAAATTTAACAGTCGCACGAGAAACCGGCACTTGTTATAGTGTTAGCCTATGACTAATTTCATATTGTATTTGGGCGCACAAAAAAATTATATATTATAATAGAATAGAATAAAATATAGGAGGCAGTGGGGAGAGTCTAGCGCGGAAATGGAAGCCTCCTGCTTTTTGGTTGCTGGAATCTGGTGGGCTGTTGAGCTTCCGGATGAGGATCACTCCCGCCAGTCGCCGATGATTTGTGAGGAGGGCACCAGTTCAAAGCGGGCGTTGGCCAGATGCGGAGGCATGCCGAATCTAGAGGGGATTAAGGGTGATTCCAGTCGCCCAATCGTTCGCTATTTCGCTTACCTGGGTCGGAAGAAGGGAGCCGGGTGGCTGGGAGCCTTGGGAATAGACGGAGGGGCTACTGCTTTGGGCTTGACTTCCGGCCTAACCTGCTGCCTGACCGGAGCAGTGCCCACATCCACGCTGTCCAGGGTGTTCCTCACCACAGCCTGCTGTCTGGGCTGGAACTGGGTGGTCCTGGGACGAACTGGCCCTGGCATGGGCATAAATCGAAACAGACGGGGAGAGGCGTCGTCATCGGGCGCATCATCGGTGGCCATGTCATCTCCTCCAGCCTCTGCTCCTCCATCGGGAGCAGCTCCTCCTCCTAATCCTCCTCCTGCTCCTCCTGCAGGCGGAGTAAACACTGCAGCCAAACGAATAGGCACAAATGCAGGGAGTCGCACGGTGATGGGAGTTCCGGAGGGCGGAAGCTGGGGAATCGAAATGGGTATGGGAATGGGGCGTGGCGGAGGAGGAGGAGGTGGCGGCGGAGGAAGCGGCCTCCGTGTGGTGCTGGTCTCCTCCGCTGGCGGCGCTGTCGTGGTCGCAGCCGGCGATTCCTGCTCCTGCTCCACCTCCTTCCAGGCCTCCAGCAGGGTCAGCAGCTCATCCTTGCTCATGTGCCCGAGGCCAACGGGACTGTAGCCCCATCCTCCACCGAATCCGCCTAATCCTCCACCGCCCACTCCGAATCCGCCGCCCACACTGTTCCAGCCCAACGGAGGCAGGTGCTCCACATGCTCCACGAGCGGAGCCTCGGGGAACAGGGATCTCTGGGGACGCGCGAGGTGTCCGCTGGCTAGCCCATAACAGGATAACAGGATCTGCAGCAGGAAAAGACCCAGCTGCGTGGCACCAACTGACCCGACCATGACTGACTTTGACTCTGGATTGTGGAGCCTCTGGGCGGAGCAGTCTCTTATATATCTCCGCCTCCTGCCAGCGGAAAGAGGAAGAAGGCCAGGTCCAGCAAAACGGAAGCGCACGCATTTGGCGGCGGGTGAACCGATGCACGGAGAGAAATTGGGTAAACTTAAAGCCTAGATGGACTTATTAAATTAATTACAATGGAAACTATTTTTATAAACATTTTTAATGTTTTTAATATTAAGTGATTGTCTCAAGAACAAATTCTAAAGTTGGAAATGTTAAAAAAAAAATTAAGCACAAGCGCGAATTCTTTAGGGGATAAAAAATCCGATCCCCTAAATCCCCAAACTGAACTACAAATATGAACTACAATTTTAAGTCTAAATTAAGCTTACAAAAAAATTAAGTTTTACAAGTTAGAAAAGCTTAAAAGAAATTGAACACAGACGCGAATTCTTTAGGGGAGTATAACCAAACATTCTAAATCCCCCAACTGAACTACAAATTTGAGCACTCAATAGGAAATGTTTCCTGTGCCGAAAACTTATTACGCACCTCCAAGTACCACAGGTTTAGTTTAGTTTAATTGAAGTCCCTGCTTGAAGTCCGGTTTCGCGGGCGAACCACTTTTCCATTTCGGGCCAAAGCTGGGATGTGGATGTGGAAAACTATGGATGCGGCCGCAGCGGGCGAAACCTGTTGGGCCCACTTTGGTCACCGACTTTTGGGCGGTGGTCCGATGTCGAGGAAGCATCTGAGCAATGCGTTCGATTCGGTTTGGGCTTTGGGGCGCACTTCCTCCATCCGCGCCAGCGTATTTGGAGCGCGTTGCGTAACCGTCTGGAGCAGTCGTCGCTCGAAATTAGTGCGACATGCCAGGGATTCCGATTTATGTTGGTTAATAATTCAAATCACAAACGGGAATGACAACTTTTCCACGAGGTTCAAGGTTCGACATTAAAGTCTCCTCAATGGCAACGAAAATAATTATTGGAAATGCGCAATATTTTGGCGAAAGTGTCTAAAATAATAAATATCGGGGTCACCAAACCTAAGTCAGTTTAACAAACGTTTAGAATCTAAACTTGATTTGTTCATTTTAATACAGTAATATTTAATACAAAATAGTCCAGCATTTAAATTATAGATTTTAAGACGGATTTTTAAAGAATTAAGTTACTAAACAAATTAAAAATGTAATGCTGGGTTTTCATTTTTCAAAACTAAAACGTGTTTAGTAAATACAAGTAAACAAAATTGAAATGCAGATATTAATTGTTATTGTATTTTGGGGTTTTCTAATTAGAATTTAACATCCTGTATAATAATTAGGTAATTTAAATATTTATTAATTTTAAATTAAACCTTTGGTATATTTTCGGTATTTCAGGGTGACCGTTTTTGGTATTTTGACCGTCCCCCTGTTCTTTGGTATATTTTTGTCGCCCGATGACGTGGTTATTGGTATTTTGTTTGGTATATTCGGACAAGCCATCCACAGAAACCCCCAATCCCAATCCAATCCCAATCCGCCCGCCGCCCGCGACGTTGCAACACAGAGTTTTGTGGCACCACATCACGAATCACGAACACCAGGTGCCCCAATTGAGGCAGCAATCTCCTCCAGCCAACCGGGCGAAACGGAGGAGCACTAGCACTCCAGGAGCCAGCCGCCGATCAGCTGAGTTGTGAACTCGAAAATCGAAGGAAGACTGGGACGCCCTGACAGAAACTTCACTGGATTGGATAGGATTGGACTAGAAACTGGACGGGAGCCACATCGGTAGCAATAAGTAGCGAGCGAGCGACGGCGGAAAAGTGCAGCCGTGGCCAAAAGCGATTGGCAAACCGAGATAGAAGCCCACGGATCAGGATAAACCATAAACCGGAGCCATGGCGCTGCTGACCATGATAGCCAGAGTCATCGATGGCCTGCCGCTGGTGGGGACCATGCAGGATGACGAGCAGGTAGCCACCATCGCTTTCTAATCTAATCGTTCCGCTAGCGAAACTCAAGTACTCACTTTCACTTTCAGAGCGGCCGCAGCATACTGGACTACCAAAACCAGGCCAAGATGCTCTTCCGCAAGCTGGGCACCCACTCGCCGGCCAGGAGCAGCATCGAGACAGGACCCTACCTATTCCAGTGAGTGTTCTGTGTATCTGTATACCCAAAATCCATAATTATGGATGGGATTCATCATCAAACCTGCCAATTTCATAAGCTTCCTTCACGTAATTTACTCAAGAATTGGTGAAATGCTTACTAATTGCTTTCCCTGACCTTTCTGCAGTTATCTAAGTGAGTGTTCCTCTATAAAGAGGCATCATATCAGAGATCTGTATACCCAAAATCCATTATAGTGGATGGGATTCCTCAGGGCAACAAGAAACATCCCAATTTTCATAAGCATCCTCCACGTAATTGACTCAAGACCTGGTGAAATGCTTACTAATTGCTTCCCCTTTCACCTTTCCCCACAGCTATCTTATCGAGAACGACGTGTGCTACCTGGTGATGGTGGACAAGATGTACTCGAAGCGACTGGCCTTTAATTACCTAGAGGATTTGGCCCAGGAGTTCCATGCCAACTACGGCAGGCGGGTGAACTCGGTGACGCGGCCCTACGCCTTCATCGAGTTCGACGTTTACATACAGAAGGCGAAAAAGCAGTTGACCGACCGCAGACGCAACATCAGCAGCATCAACACACAGCTGCAGGATGTGCAGAGGATTATGGTCCAGAACATTGACGACGTGCTCCAACGTGGCACAGTGCTGGCGGGTAACTAATTTATATGAAATAGATAGCAAAATCCTATCACTCACAAACTCTCTTCCCCTTTCAGAACTCGACACCAAGACCCAGAACCTCTCGATGATGTCGCAAAAGTACAAGAAGGACGCCAAGCTGCTCAACCGCAAGTCCATGTACGTGAAGGCGGCCGCCGTGGGCATCATATTCCTAGTGTTCATCATGTACTTCTGGGTTCTGTAATAGTCGCTAGCACAGATCTGGAGCGGTGCGCTCTGTTCTTTGTTATATGTACGTCGAGCGTCAGAGACGCGCGGCGACCCAAAGACATTTAGATTATGCGTACACCTGTACTCCACCAGAAAAAGACACACACACATGATGCCCCCACATATGATTCATAATCAGGCAAACCCTTTGACACGCGCACCGCTTCCGAGGCTTCTTGTTTAACTTGTAATATTCACTTACCTTTGCGTTATTTACGGTCTTGGATTCCATTAACTATTAATTCCCATTTCAATTCGCTTTCTACGCTCTACGCTCTACGCTTCTCTTGTTTGCGCAGGTTTTCTGCATATTTGATTACGAATCGAGTCTAATTTAGCCAGCCGACCGACCGACCTTTGAGCCAAGTTGAATCTGTAAATTATAAACGCCGATGCCGATCCGTGTGTGTGTGTATAAATGTCTAGATTGTAGATGGAATCGCTGTGCCGATTCCAAATCCGGCGGGGTTTAATCAATAAATAGCTGCAAAAGCATAGCAAGGAAAACGATAAGAAAAGAAAAGAAAGGATAAGAAACGATACAAGTTTTAGGCAATTTATATGTATAAAATTAAGGCAAATAAATCAATTTACATTGTTTAATAAAAACTCCATATAAAGGTATTGTACCTACCCAAACGACCCGAAGAAATTCAAAATTCAATTCAAAACGCCGTCTCATTTTTGGTTTAGTTTTAATCGTTAATTTCCCTTTATATATATTTCGTTTCACTGGAGTGTGATGTGTGATACATTCGCCTATATAGTTTATATCCACTTGCAAGCCTTCGATTTTCTTCGATTCTTCCCAATGAGATGCTCTGTTCGATCTCTCGTTTTCTCGTTTAATTTCCATTTTCGTTTTCGTTGCGTCTCGGCGCATATAAATTTGTAATATCAAATCTTTACAATTAGGAAAAAAATGCGCTGTTACCGTATAAACTGTTTGTTATATCGTTAATTTGGTGTGTATAATTTTGTTAAATATCGAATCCGAATACATGTATACCTTCTGCCGTCTGCCTTCTATATATTCTATATGTATATATATGAATGCATATATGCTTCTGTGGGCGCGGGTGTAAAAAAGTGGGCAATAATTAATTGGGGCGTGTTTATCTACCGAATTTTGTTGACTACCTTCATTTGTGTGTTTAAGGTTTCTGCTGAAGCTCTGGTGAGTGAGTTTTTGTGTTGTACATCTAGACACTGAACGGGCTAAGAACGCGTTATCGTATTTGGGCCGTTTTCTCAATGTCAGGTTAAGTTCAGGTTAATTTCAGGTTAAATTAACATCACATTGAGAAAACGATTTAGTTCTTCCGAACCATTTAACCTCAAATTAGTTTTCTCTGACAGTTAACTAACCGGAACCATAACATGACATTGAGAAATCGACCCTCAGTTAACCGTACGAATCGGGGCTTCACTGTAAATATCTAGATGTAGATGGGGATGCTTGGTTGATGGTCGTCCTGCACTGGGCTTGAAAAATCCTTTACAAAATATTTGCTTGTTTTCTCAATTGGTTTCTGCTAATGCTAGTTTGCTTGTTTTTGGCTTGATTTCTTTTTTGTTTTTCGCTTTTACTCGTTCTTGGCTCCGACATCTACAAATTCAAAAGGCAGTTTCGCGCATGGAGGGACAATTACAAATTGAGATTCATTACAAAGCATCGAAGAGCGAGAACACTCAAATATATCGTTTCTATAGGTGTTTATAGGTTGTTTTGCATTGTGGCTGCTTGTTTGTTGGTTAAAAAAAATACAAAAAAATAATATTAATAATAGGTAATAATAAGACAAGAACAAGAACAATCTAAACATTGAGATTCATGTTCTGTTTACGTTTAAGTTTCTTCTTCTTCACATACCTCTTGCATTTTTTGGGGTACGTGGACTTAGGACTATTCAAAAAAATTAAATTTATAATATATATATAATATGCTTGCTGCTGCTGCTGTTTTTGTTTACAATTTAGATTTAGAGTACGAGTACCGTTGTTAGCTTAGGAAAGAGAACTTTAGTGAGTGGTGCGCAAGGAGAAGAAGGTCCAACCCAGGCCGATTACGCTACGTCGTCTCTCTACCGCTATCCATCTATCCATCTATCTTTATATCTTTCTATCTTTCTATCTTTAGGTGTATATTTGTTGCCACTAGGCTGGTGCATATGTATCTGTTTAGTCGTATATGTCTGTTAAGCTGTGATCCGATCCTCCGTCTATGTACAATGATCCTCCCATCTTCTCTACTATCTTCTCGATCTATTAGGAATCTTAGTTCCAATCTACTTGATCCTCTGATGATCCGGCGTGCTCTTTAGTATATCAGGCTGGTGGTGCTGCTGCTGCTGCTGGTGATGGTGGTGGTGCTGAGGATGATGATGACCCGAGCTCAGTGTGCCCGGCTGACTTCCTCCTCCGCCGCCGCCGGCGTGATGGGAGCTGCTCAGCGTGTGCGAGTGGTTCGAGTTGAGCGTGTGCGTCGCATGCGAATTGAGCGTGTTGTGGGCCGTGGTGGTGGCGTTCGTGGAGAACCCGGTGGTGGTGGCCACCGCCGAGCCGCCGGCCCCCAAAGTCGGACGCTGGGAGGCTCGCAGCGAGCGATGCGATCCGTTGCGGGTCAGCGAGTTCATCTGCGGCGTTCCTGGCACCGTGTGGCCCAGTGCATTCATGTAGTCCGCTATGAGCAGCGTGATCTCCAGAATCTTGGGCTTGCTCATGGCAAACAGGAGCTTTTGCTCACCGCTGCCGTCGTCGTGGGAAACCACCAGCATAAAGTCGTCCTGGCAGCCGCCAAAGGTCATCACCGAACTGTATGGATACCTGGCCACCGGCGCCATGGTGGACAGCTCGAGTACGTTGAGGGCATCCTCGGCCACCGCCAGCCAGGCAACCGGAGTGGCTGCTCCCGTGGTGCCCATGGATGATTCTGGGCTCTGTCTGGGCTTCGCCTGGAACAGGCAGGCTCCGAAATACGGCCACTTGCGGCAGCAGGTGAGGTAAATGCGCACACAGTCCAGCGTGGAGCGACCCTTGAGCAGCATCCACTTGGAGACCAGCAGCTCCTGCACATCCTTCAGCTGCTCGGCGCCCAAAGCGTCCCTATAGCGATACGGGTAGAACTTGTCCAGACCCTTCAGGCCCACGCCCACGTCGCGGGACTTCTCCAGCGAGTAGTCGCCCATGTCGATCTGGGACATCAGCGAGGCCAGCTCCAAAGCCAACTCCCGGGATAGCGGGAATCGGCCCTGGACAATCTGCGAGTTGGTCTGGTAGCACAGCAGCAGGCGCTCCTTGTCCGTCTCGCACTTAATGGTGTGCTTCCAGTAGAGACGGTTCTTGTAGCTCAGCTGGATCACCCGCGAATTCTCAAACTTCCCCGATCCCTTCTCCCTTAAAGCCGTCTCCCATTTGCTGATCACGTCGCACAGCTTGGCCAGCGGCTCCAGGTAGTGCTCCAGATCCTTCTCAATTGGATCGTCGCTGAATAGGCAGAACCCATTGCTGGCATCCCGCGTGCCCAGTTCGTGGGCCAAAGTGGCCTGGAACTCCTCGATGGTGGTGGAGCCATCAAAGGAAACCACCTGTGTGGGTTGGAGATAAAAAGGATGATCAAAATACATGTAACAAGAAAGAAAGCTTATATACCCTTGCAGATCATTCCTATTAATTTACAAATCGTAAAAATTTTAAATTTCCTATTATTTCTCATTAATTTACGAACGTTCCTATGGCAGCTATATGATATGGTGGTCCGATTTTGAAAAAATTTTATTCAAAATTTAGAATTGAATAAAAAATTGTATTTTCAAAAAACACCCAAGATATATTTTTTTTAAATTTTTTTTCCCGATTATTCCTATGGGTGCTATATGATATAGTTGTCTGATCCAGCTCGTTCCGACATATATACTACCTGCAAAAGAAAGAAGACTTTTGGGAAAGTTTTAGACCGAGTTTTTGCGTAGAAACGGACGGACAGACGGACGGACAGACAAACGGACAGACGGACATGGCTAGATCGACTCGTCTAGTGATGCTGATCAAGAATATATATACGTTATGGGGTCGGAAACATCTCCTTCACTGCGTTTCAAACTTCTGACCCTCTGCAAGAGTATAAAAATAGAATAGCAATTATATCTTACCTGGTAGGTGGTGTTCATCATGTGCACGGGAATCGCATGCGGCAGAGAGTGGTGGTAGGGATTCTTCAGGAGAATCGATAGAACCTCCATCCGCGACGGTTTCGTCTCGCGGCCCCCGTTCTTAAGCGTCCTCTCCAGCGCGCGCTCACAGTAGGCGGCGTACTTGCCCGTCTCTGTCTTTGTATCCGCATTCCGGGACAAGTGGAGCTTGAGGTACCACAGCAGGCGACTCGAGCGCGGAACAAAGAGGGATACGGCCAGGGCCAGGAGCTGCCAGCCCTGGACGAAGCTGTAGGCGGGCGGGTTGCTTTTGCAGTCGATTATGGGCGTGGCAGCAGGAGCCTATACAGATCGTAATTAGTCAGAGATCAGTTCGGATAGGATTCGATTTCGGTGGGGGGGATTAGAGTTAGTGTTAAGAGTTACGAGTTAGTAGAAGTGAGGTTAGGAAAGTTGTAACTACGTGACTACGAAAATCGAACGAAACTGTACTCGCACAACAAAGAATGTTACACGTTCAGTTCAGAGAGGTTGACATTGTGTGGCATTGTTACATAAGTAGTTAGAGAGACCATAAATTTCCCCGCATACCTGTATGGAGGTGGGCGAACTGCCGTTGGCTTGGGCGTGGCCCGCCTGTTGGGTATCACAGGTGAATAGGCTTTGGGTGGCGCACAACAGTAGTTGCTGTAAATTTCGGGGTCGTTCATGTCCGTTCATGTTCGTACAGTGTTGGAAAACATTTCGGTTTCGGTACGGTTACGTTACGTTACACGCGAAACGAAAGGCAACAAAAGATGGGGAAAAGAAGAAGCCAGAGAACACATATTCGGATCAATTTTTCACTCATCATTAATTAGCGGTGTGATTTTCATCTGTTTTGTTTTGTTTTGTGGTTTATGTTGTTTTCTGTTGGCAGTGTTGTGTAACGCTATACGATTCACTATGTTCGTATCGTTTAAAAAGCGAAATGCGAAGGATAACAAGATAACGATATAAAAGACAAAGAGCACATTCAAAGCGAATTATAAGGATATTGTTATTATGGAAGCAGGAAAACCATGGATACTCTAGAAACTCTAGAAACAAAATGCAAACAAATTAGAGCTCGGTTTGCCAACAATGGCAAATGTAATCGATATATTTGGATATGCGGCTGTTGCGTAGTTTAGTGTAATGTCTGATCAGTGGTTAGGTGATTTGGTTTGCTGGTTCTTCAGTGGTTCATGTAATCTTCTTTTGGTTTTTTGTAAAATTTACAGCAAATACTTTATACAATGAGCTGTTTTTGGTTGTCTTTCGCATTTGATGATAAGTATGTAGAGTTACACAGTAACGTACTGAAAGCTATATATTTTATATACATACAGAAACATTTCTGACAGTTATGGGGGAAATTTGTTGTCTGTTTGCTACTGAAAACAAAACTCAAAACGAAAAAAGTATTTGAAAATAACAAACAATTATGTAGATCAAGTTGATAATTAAGTAAGGTTCTCATGCATATTTACAATAGATGATACGGTTAGTCGATAGTGTTTGGTATATTTGTTTGATATTATATTGAGTAGGCTTAGTTATGATATTTCGTATAAAGCGTTCGTAAGCTTGTTCCTTGAAGCAAAGCTCTTTTAGGCTGGCAATGATCGCAAACAAAAGTATACCTATTTGGGGACTTGGGTGATGGGTGATGACTGTACCGTCGGCACAGTTTCCCACCATCTCTTCGAGACTCTCATTCTCTCTTGGGCTTTCTATTTGCAAGTGGTTAGTGGGGATTTTGAGGGGGAGTTTCTACACCATAAACACAAAACGAGGACATTCAACTAAACATTTCCAGGGGGATGCAGGTTTCAGGGAGGAAGGAGATTTGGTTTTCTTTTCGGGGGACATAAGAAGCTTTGCAACTGAAAAACTTACGCGCGTTTGCTTGCCCAGCTTCTTGTTTACCTGGACGCCGACACTGAGCTTCTGGCCCATGTGGCGGGAGGTCTGCTTGATCAGTATGCAGATCATCTCCGTCTGCAGCTCGGGCATATCCAGAGCATGTTGCAGGGCGTTCTGGGCGAGCACCACGTGGTAATCGATGCCCGGCTGGTTGACCGCCACCGACATGAACAGCTGAATGCTCTGTAAGGAATATATGCTATAGATCTCAAAGGTTTCCTTGCTAGCCACTCCATCCACTCACCTTGAAGAGCTTAATGGCCTCCGGCTGCATGGTTTCCGTGTGCATTGATGAGAGCGGCGCGGTGATGGTGTCTTTGGTGTGCAGCAGAATGGGATGGCGCCACAGGACGCAGTCTGCAAATTGGCAATTAAAACAAGAATTAAATCTATTATTGACTTCTAGGGTAAGGCAAGCACTCACTAGGATCGCCATCCGTTTCCATGAGCTTCTGTACGAGCTGTTCATACTGGGTGCCAGCACTTGGGCCGCCGCCCGAAACGACAGTTAGGTGATAGAGCCAATTATCCCGCTCTGGCTTCCCGGACAGGATCAGGTAGGTTGGTCCCTGGTGCGCCGGATAGATGGCCACCGTGAGTCGGGCCTGATCCTGGGCGGCATCCTCTCGCTCCTCGGAGTCCGAGTCAGAAACGTGTTCCACCTCCTCGACTCGGGCATCGCGCATATTAATCTGGCCCAGGGGATTCTAGGGATCACGGGATAAAATATATTAATTAGAACGATTCGTGATTTGATTTGTGATTTATTTCGTGATTCGATTGTGATTCGATTTATGATTCGATTCGTGATTCGATTCAAAATTCAATTCGTGATTCGATTCATGATTCCTTTCTTACCGTCTCAACAGGAGCCTTGAAGTAGAGGAACATCTTGCCCAACAGCACACACCAGCACTTCTTGGGATGGCCGTTCTTCACCTTGGTCACCCAACCCTGCACCGTCGGCTTCTGGTCATCGCGACTCAGCAGCAGCTTGGTGGCATTCCTTCGCTGCACATTCTGCAGCACCCGGATCCAATCGTCCATGGTGGCATGCGAGTCCGCCGTGAGGTAGTAGACCTTCTTGCCCGTGTCTATCTCGAAGGTGGAGGCTCCCTCCGCCCGATTGATGCGACAGGCCTCGTCCAGTTGGATCTGCCCCTGGGGCTTCCGCTGCACATCGTGCTGGCTCTTCCAGTAGTTGAGGGATCCGTTCTTTAGAACGAACCAACGCTTGCGCCAAGTCTTCAGCTTGCCACCCAGCTTGGCCAGGTGACCCATCTGAAAAAAAGGAGAAGCGTGAAATGAAGGGAAGACTCTTTAGGGATGACTTCTTACCTTCTCCAGCGACTCAATCTTTTTGCTGGGCGAATCCACGTAGGACTGTCGCATCAACAGCGACGGCATCGAGGCGTCCATGCACGTGGACTCCGACACGGCGTCGGGGGGCAGGGCGTAGTCGTCCGAGAGGCCTGATTCAAAGGAGAGATCTGAAATTACTGTGCCACGCATGTGCTGCTGGAGGGGTGAGGGGGCTTTGGAGGCGGTTGGAGTTTGGAGGGCGTGGCCATGGGGACGCGGCAGCGTTATCTGCCCACTCGAAGGCGCCAGCGTGTAGGCCCCCAACTGGTGGTTATGATTCTGGACTTGGTATTGGTGGGGCAGTGTGTGGTGTTGGTGGTGCGTATGCGTATGGAACGATTGCGGTTGGAGATGCTGTTGGTTGGTGTGGCTGGTGGATGTGGTGCGTGGTTGGAGGTGGACTGCGGCGGATGGGTCAGAGGTTAATGGCGGTTATTTGGTTATTCGGTCGGCGATGGTTGATTGATGGGCAAAAGTGGTTAGAATCGCAAGTTGTTAGTTTCTTTCATCATTTTGGTACTTTTTTTGGGACATCTAAGAGGAGAGGAAGGGTAAGGAGGGGAGCAGACGAACTCTAATGGGGATGAGGTATTGCGGGACTAGTTATTATTACTAAGATGGAAACTTTTTGGCGCCCAACGAGGGGCAGTGGGATTTAGTAACTGGGAGCTAGGAACTAGGATCTTAGAGGTATCGAGTTTTAACCATTTGTGTTAGTTGGTGTATAGAGTGTATAAAGTTAGTTCGACGGGGGCTACGCTACGCTAGTCGTTCATCACAGAGGTTTACTGAGGACAAGGGACAATTAAATAACTATACATACCACGCGCCTTCGCGTTCTTGGGACTCTCCGAACCACTTCGCTTGGCCGGACTTAGGCTAGAGGAGGTCTTCAGGCTCTTCGAGGGACTCGAAGCGCTGCCCGATGTCGAGGTCTCCGTGTTCTCGGTGCTCGACGAGTTGTGTGAATGATGGGTGAGCATCACCGCATGGTCCTCGCCATCACTGGAGTCATCGCTCGAATCGCCCGTAAATGGCATCGAGCGGATCTGCGAGGCTCGACCCTTGACCGTTGCGTAGACGGGCACGGATATATCACAGAAGCCGCCGCTGGCGGTTTGTTGTTGCCTCGACGGTGGCAGCGGCGTTCCCGGTGTACTGCCCAGGGTACCGTGCCCATCCCCAGTTCCCGCCGTTACCGTTCCCGTTCCAGATCCATGACTGTGACCATGTCGTCGGCCATTGGAGAGATTCGTTCCCGTGCCCGTTCCCTCTTGAATATCTGGCTCCTGAATGGCCGCACTCTCCGCCGTCCCTCCGCCAGCTCCCGCCAGTCCATCGTTGGCCACCTGGTAGATCTTGGCCTCCCAGCTGGGAAAGCGATGCAGCGGCGGCGTCGGAGGCCGTGGCACGCCCAGTTCACTGGTGGTTGTGGTGGTGGTGCTGGAATTCCCGCCACTGGCCATCAATGCCGGATTGTTCTTCATCCAGGCGGGTAGCTTTTCGCAGGATGGCGTGTAAATCTCCGCATAATCATGGGCCGTATCCGTATCGGAGCTATCTGGCCTGGCAGCTGATCCGGGAGCTTTGCTGGAGATGCTGGACAGCGGGGCAAGGGTTAGGCCATCGACAGCGGCCACCAGATTTCGTTCCAATTCCTGCGGCTCCATCGAGAGGTTTCGCCTGTGCTGGTGATGCGGATACGAGCTGGTCAGCGGTCGGCCAATAATGGGATCCTGCGGATCGAGACTCTCGCTTCGCCTGCGATGCTCGGGATTGGACCCCGAACCGGCAAAGTCCTGAACGTCTAGGCTGAGGCTATTGCGCACCGGACCCACGATACTGTGGCGCTGCGATTGATTGGCTATGTGATTCTTGAGCAGCTCCAACTGCTGGTTGCACTTGACGTTCTGTTCGCGCAGCAACTGGTTCTGCTCCTCGAGATCGCGTAGCTTGTTGTTCACCCACTCCTTGATCTTGGCCGCCTTGGCCTCGATTTGTCGTGCGTCGTGGAGTCGCAGCTGTCTCTGTTCCTCCACCTGGATCTCCAGCGAAGTGATGGTCTTCTCCGCCTCCTGGGTGGGCGGTGGTGCACCTGATACTGTTGATCCTGCTGCCGTGGCTCCTCCTCCGACCTGATGGCTCGGCGAACAATTGCTTCTGGCCTGCTGCTGCTGCTGCTGCTCCTGCGGATGACTGGCTGGCACTGGCTGGTGCGGATGCGGATGCTGGGGCGGTGGCTTGGGCCACTCACTCAGCCGCTGCTCCATGGCACGCACCTAGAAAACAGATTGGGGGAAAGGGAAAGGTTAGTCAAGTTGCAAACTTTTCACAGCGAAAACTTTTCCAAATTAAATTAAATTCACACTAAGCCACGACAAAGTTCAGGGCAGGGTCTAATGGTTACACATGACCCTCCCCAAAAGGGATTAGCTGGTAGGATTGCTGGTAGTCATGTAGATAGACAGAAGGAGGGGGAGTTCTGAAGGAGAAAGGGGTTTCCTAAGTTGCCCTAGGCACCAAGACACGAGATTCACAAAGAAGGCCACTTTAAGAGGTCCTTTAATAGCCGAAGTTACCAAGTTATATCACATACTTATACATTTAAGGATCATTTCTCGATTATAATCAATTTCACTTAGAAATATGAAAGATATGACATTCCAAGATAATTTATATCATTCCAAGAGTATTCAAATCATTTCAAGACGATTCAAATCATTCCAAGATGATTTAAATCATTCAAAGATTATTTTAATCATTTCCAGATGATTCAAATCATTTGGACCACGTCTTATAATTCGTAGTTCTTGTAAAATATGTTAAAAGTGTATTCCCGAAGAATTCGGGGTTCTATTTATATTTTATTAAGAGCTTTAGGTAGTCTAAGGCAAGAATAGTAGAACATTGAAAATAAATTAATTGTATTACACATCACAGAAGTCCTATACAATGTATAGTATACATTTAAAATCATTAGAGCCAGGGGTTTTCCAAAGCCAGAGACGTTTAGTGGTTTCAAGACCTGGCAGGAACTGGTGTAATTAAGAGGCGACCATTTAACACCCGACTGCAACTGCAATGCCAAGGAAAAACTGAAAAACTGCAAAATGGCAGCGGCAGTGGCCGAATGAGCTTGCCACATGCCATCGCCCCAGGAAATAAGTATTTTTATGGTTACACAACAATTTGCAAGTAATGCAACTGCCACGGAGAACAAGAGGAAACCGAGAGGACAAGGAGACAGGAAAGAAATAACTTCATTTGGCACGCCAGGAAACCGAACTGACAACTAAACAAAGCCGGAAGTTGAACAAGGGTGGGCCTGGAGGTTTAGTGGGGTTTGTGGGGTGGCAGGGTGGCATGGGGTCACGGGGTTAAGAAGTTGGGTGTCCTCAGTTGAGGAGCAATCGAAGCGGGCGGATTTCTATCAAGGAAATGGGATTTTTCCTGCCTTTCAAAGAGTAATGCCAAACTCCCTACTGCATTATTAGTTGTCAGCCGGGATGGAGAACCAAAAATGGGTCTATTGTTTAATGTTACAAGAGGTGTTGAAGTGTGGTTATAGCAGGGGGTGTGGTTTTCAGCCCAAGGTAGGTGAATGAATCGAGGTCCTGGCTGTTAAAAATAGATAAACCGGCGAAAATAAGCAGCCTCAAAAAGGGCCAAAGCCCTGTGGCTCCTCCAACCCCAATTTTCCTGGTGACGCATATAAAATGCCAAAGTTTATGCCTGTCATGCCATCAGCTGGAATCCAGAGGCACAGGGACCCCGCTTACTGGTAATGGGATATGCCATGTGCACCAGGGAGATACGGGCCAAAAGATACGCGCGGAGTACAATAGACAAGAGTTAGGGACATGCAAAGTTGCAGAAAAAGGAGTTTGCGAAAAAAGTGGAATAAAAAAATTCAGAGGGCGAACTATTTCCCCTAGGAGCCCCTTGGGTTCAAGATCACAGACACTTGCTAAAGCGCTGAAATCTGAGGAAAATCCGAGGGAAGTCCGAGGAAAATCACAAGGCAGCGAGAGCAACTTTCGAGTAACTTGAGCCATAAAATCAGGCTGCGCGCCTAAACCGCTAAAAAAAAAAACTTGAGGCAATGGCTTATTTAATGGCCCGAACAGCAAAGTTCAGACGAGCAAAACTTGTGCACTGGCTGCTTCTCTGCTTCTCCTCCGGTTTCTTTCTCGATTTCTCGCCATAACATGAATCAAATGAATTGCCTGCATTTAGGCGTGTGAAACTTTGAGCCCCTTTCGGAAAACAAACAAAGAACAAATCGGAATCGGTTAGGAGGAAAGAAGAGGAAAAGAGAAAGGGGGCCTGAGACAGTAAGTTGACTTTATCTAAATGCGTTTTCTAGATTCGCAGACACAGCTGCTTTGGAATCCCCATCCCATATCCATGGGTATCTCCTAAGTCCCGTCAGCCAGACAGCTAAATCCTGGCAATTTTCGTTATTGGATTTGCGATCTGTAATGGGTGGGGGAAATTGTGGAGCACCGTCATAGATGGGGAAATGATTTAGCACTTCATGTTAACCCTTTCATTGCCTATTATACCTAACAATAGTTTTGTTAAAATTTAATTCAGAATTTAAGTGCATTTAGAAAGGATTGAAAAGTATTTATCATAAAATCGTTTTATTGATACTTATCAAAATGTGGAAGAAAATTTTAAAATCGTATAATCCATTAAAAAGTTATGAGCAAAAAATGAAATGACCGCTAGATGGAGCCAGTAGCTTTTTCCTTATAAGAATTCTAACTTTGAAACTTTAAGAGGTATTTAAAATGGGTTTCTCTTCGCTGGTCTCCTTCACATTTTAAGCAACAAAAAGCGTAGAAAAAGCATTCGATTATATGGCAAAATGACATTTTTATTGCACAGCCCCTAACAAATAGTGCAATGTCGTCTGCCACTTAACATAAATCGCACATATTGCCGTAAGTCCGCTTCTAAAGAAATAATATAAAGGAAAAGTAGAGAAATCCCCGACAATAATTTGCCCCAACGCACAATCGGATTATGCCGACCAGAGAGAAAACTTCAAGATGGAGCGACAAAAAGGGGCGAATTGTGGGGGCTGCCAGAAAAATGCGCTCAATAAAATAAATTCCAAAAGCTGAAGACGATAAAAAGATGAATGAATAAGCGCGCGCATTTGAATAAAATTTGAATTCAATTTGGAGGGCTGAAGGGAAGTTATGGCCCTTTCCCTTTGCCACACAGATTGCAGCGCTATCTTATATATATACCATATATATATTATAGGTTATGTTCTCCACTTCTCTGGCCAAGCATGCATACTGTTTTTATGACTAAATGAGCAGACGCAATTAAGTGGGGTTGTTGGGTGGGGATCGAAGTGGTATTTTCAGGGGTTTTCCTCTGGTAGTCAGCAGATGACTAACCATTATGACCAGACCAAAAAGGGGAGGAAAGGGGATGGAGTTGCCACTTGGTGACTCACTTTATGCCATCTAAAAGGGTTTTGTTCTCCCAGTGGGTGGCCTCTGCAAACCCAATAGTGTAGCCCCCCGTGATAGATGATTAATCTGTTTATAATGAAGACATCTTGCGTTAATGAAGAAATAATGACTTTACTATGAATATATAGAAACTCCACTCTATATACACACCCACATCCATAATATTTTCTCATCTCTTCCCGGTGAACAAATTTGCTGTTTCCCGGGCAATTTGTTAATATACTTCACAATGTGCCGCAACTCAAACAGAGTCCACCCCCCTTTTGGCCACTTCCTCTACGGCCCTGCATCCCCCTCTTGTGTTTTTTCTTCTTTCTGCCACTCATATCAAGCGTCGCATATTGCACACAAAATACACACACACACGAGATGAAATTCAGAAAAATATAGGTATATTTTATTTGCGTTTCTTGTGTTTCTTTGACTTCTTGGAGGCAAACAGCCTCCACCCCCTGCTCTCTTTCCTTTTCCTCCTGTGACGTTTAATTTGGAGTCATGATTCCATTGTTATTTATAGTCAACAAAGCGGCAGCCGCTTGAGAGGCACGAGGGTATGGAAAACGGGAGGAATACGGCAGAACCACTCAAGAAAACACTCCATAAAACATTGTTGCTGCCCCTCGTTCCCCGGAAAACCGAAAAAAAGAAGGAAAATATCCATCTTCCATCGCCCTTCCTTGGCACGCGCCATCTCCCTCTACTTCTTACACCGAAAGAAATGGGAAAAATATTATTAAAATAATAATATATTAACATGCTTGATTTAATTTTAAAATATTTAAGTTAAAATATTTATACATAAAAATCAGAGTTCAAAATCTTTAAAATAACATAAGCTCAATAAAATTAATTCTTTAGATTTTCTACGATTTATTTTTATCAGTACACTCTTCGTCTTCAGTCGTCCTATAGTCTGGGGGACCTGGCACTTATCTGCTATCTGGTATTCCCCATTCCCAGAATCCCACTCCCCTGATATTATATGTATAAGGGATATCGTTAGCTGCAGTGCTCACGCATATCTTTATTTCCAGTCATCGTCTTTGGTCCATGGAATGCTCAGAATGCCCAGACAGAGCGAAATTTTGAGAAAGAGGAAGGGAAACCTCGAAAAGGACAAATTGATTTCAAGTTTTTTGAAGCTATGCGGAGAAAAAACGCGGCATCCAAGGTGAAGCGAAAAAAAGATCAAGGGGATATACACTTTTTGGATCTGTCTACACCTGCTAAGATGTTTTAATGTTATTACTTATTTGTATAAAGAATGTTGTTTAATCAACATTCCTTTGGTGAGGAGTATATTTCCCATTTCCCCTACTTCACATCAAATATTCTGTTTCAATAACCTACCCGACCTCCTTTGGTTTCTTTGATCCTTCAGCTAATCCCTGGAAATAGTTAATCTCTTCACTGGAGAACAATGCTCCTCGGGAATTCTCCATTGTCGTTGGGAAACTGCCGCTCGCTCACCCTTTTTTCTCCCCTAAGATTCCTCTGGCAAAAAAAAGGGGTGAGGGGAGTCTCTGCTGTGAATGATTTTTCCATTACAGTCAATGTCAATATTTGCTGCATGTTTTGGCAGCTTTGAAATTGAAAATGTGCATGTTTCACATTATCCCGTGAACGTGGTTACATGGCAACTTCATCGAGCTGGGCATCCTTTTGGTGGCGCTCCGTTTACGCTCCTCTCAAAAACCAACCGCCAGCTACGATGTTTCCCCCATCCAGCAGCACCTCCCTTAACTGCTCCGTCATGCAACAGAAATTAGAAAGCAACTAAGTAC